TGTGATTAAATATTTGACACAGCATAGGTTTCTGACACAGAATGAATGTGGTCTAAGAACTTAAAAATTTTAAATTGGACATTCACCTATTATGGTCCAATATCCAAAATCTAAATACATGGTTAGATTCAGCATATCAAAGAACCCCAAGAATTCAATTTTTGATGAAATCAAACAAAGTTTAATTTTGGACCCTTTTGACCTCAATGTGGACAAAGTTGATAATGGGGCCCAAAAATCTAAATACATGGTTAGATTCAGCATATCAAAGAACCCCATATATTCAGTTTTTGTTGAAATCAAACAAAGTTTAATTTTGGACCCCGATTTGGACCAACTTGAAAACTGGGCCCATAATCAAAAATCTAAATGCTTGTATTTTGCCCCTTTTTTGGCCCCTAATTCGTAAAATTTTGAGGCAATTACCCCCAAAAACAATCCCAGCATTCCTTTTGTGATATGGAACCTTGCAGTACAATGTCAGAGAGATCCATACACTAACACACAAGTTATGTCTGGAAGTTACAAAAATGCTTATTTTTGGCCCCTTTTTGGCCCCCAATTCCTTTACTGTTGGTACCATAACCCCCAAAATCAATCCCAACCTTCCTTTTGTGGTATTGAACCTTTTGGTAAAATTTCATAGAGATCCATTTACTTAAACTCAAGTTAGAGTGCGAAAACCAATGTGTCTTCGGACGACGACAACAACGACAACGATGACGACGACGCCAACGTCATACCAATATACGACCACAAAAATTTTTTTGCGGTCGTATAAAAACTGCAAAATTTCCTCAAAACTACCAATTTAGTGGTAGCAACCCAACAATGGGTTGTTCGATTTGTCTGAAAATTTCAGGGCTGATAGATCTTGACCAATTAAACAATTTTACCCCATGTCAGATTTGCTCTATAAGCTTTAGTTTTGGAGATATAAGCAAATAAAAACTGCATTTGACCCCTATGTTCTATTTTTAGCCAGGGCGGCCATGTTTGTAGATGGATTAAAACTTGGGATACAATTTATAAACTAGATATCCTAAGGAACATTTAGATGAAGTTTGAAGGTATTTGGCCCAGTAATTTCAGAGGAGAAGATTTTTAAATGTTAGCAAACTTGATGAACAAATTGTGTAAAATTGTCTTTAAAGGGCAATAACTCCTTAAGGGGTCAGTTGAAAATTTTGGTCCTATAAACTTTTTTGTAGATCTTACTTTGCTGAACATTATATAATTGCTGTTTACAGTTTATATCTATCTATAATAATATTCAAGATAATAACAAAAAACTGCAAAATTTCCTTAAAACTACCAATTTAGTGACAGCAACCCAACAATGAGTTGTTTGATTCTTCTGAAAATTTCAGGAGTGATAGATCTAGACCAATTGAACAATTTTACCCCTGTCAGATTTGCTCTTAAACCTTTAGTTTCTGAGATATAAGCAAAAAACTGCATTTGACCCCTATGTTCTATTTTTAGCCATGGCGGCCATGTTTGTCGATGGATCAAAACTTCAGATACAATTTATAAACTAGATACCCTAAGGAACATTAAGTTAAAGTTTGAAGGTATTTGGCCAAGTAGTTTCAGAGGAGAAGATTTTTAAATGTTAGCAAACTTGATGAACAAATTGTGTAAAATTGTCTTTAAAGGGCAATAACTCCTTAAGGGGTCAATTGACAATTTTGGTCATAAAAAACCTTTTTGTAGATCTTACTTTGCTGAACATTATTGCTGTTAACAGTTTATATCTATCTATAATAATATTCAAGATAATAACAAATAAAATGCTCCGCAGGGCGCAGCTTGATACGACCGCAGAGGTCGAACCCTGAACAGTTGGGGGAAGTATGGACACAACATTCAAGCTTGATACAGCTTTGGATTTGGATTGTGATTAAATATTTGACACAGCATAGGTTTCTAACACAGATTGAATGTGGTCTAAGAACTTAAAAATTTTAAATTGGACATTCACCTATTATGGTTCAATATCCAAAATCTAAATACATGGTTAGATTCAGCATATCAAAGAACCCCAAGAATTCAATTTTTGATGAAATCAAACAAAGTTTAATTTTGGACCCTTTTGACCTCAATGTGGACAAAGTTGATAACGGGGCCCAAAAAATCAAAAATCTAAATACATGGTTAGATTCAGCATATCAAAGAACCCCATATATTCAATTTTTGTTGAAATCAAACAAAGTTTAATTTTGGACCCCGATTTGGACCAACTTGAAAACTGGGCCCATAATCAAAAATCTAAATACATGCAGTGATCGGGAAGGACGTGCGCCTTGCGCCAATTGCGCTTATCGACCAGAAATGGCGCATAGAGTGACAAATGTAAGCGCCCACGTGGCGCATGTTATTTTCACTTCGTTTTGAAACGTTGAGATATCGGCAAATGGATTTCCGATCGTATTTCGTGCCGCCATGTGAGAGTACACAACTGTGTAGTGTTTACTCCAATGATAGGAGCACCTATATATTTTTGGGACGTCTCGGGTGTTATCCTATGGTAATAATAGCAACATGCGGTATGACTGATTACCCAAAAAACGTAATTAACCATTATTCATGATATAATTTTTTATAAACAACTTTAAATTTGTGAAAATTGGCTAGTACAGGCGAGAATTCTTCTCTAATTATAATCTTTTAAGTAAGCTTGCTATTATTTCGATTGAAAAACCCAAAATCCTTTTTATGAATAGTATAGTATTTGTCTCCATAAAAGGGGCTTAACTGTCCTTGTCAATTTTTTTGGTTTTTTGCTCGTTTTGACATTTTGTAAACTATGATGCCTTCAGCGAATTGTTGTTATGTCTTATCAATTAACGTTGCTCTCTACTGTTATTATTGTCATCGTGATGAAGTAATAATAATACAAGTGCAGAGGAAATGCCAGAAATGTCCTCTAATACGGAACGTCTGGAATAAGTATGGTATCGACGAAGACCCAAATTCAATGTAAAAAAACCATGAACATGAACAAGGGAACAGTACCAGTTTTAACATTGTAAATAAAGGTTATCGTAAATATTACCCGGTTTGGAAGAAGTTATTGTATATTCATTGAAATTGAAATTACAAAATCACAGGAACAATATCCATGATATTAATTAGAATCATACTTGTAAGTAAAGTGAAATATACACTTTTTTTAATTTTTTTTCTAATTGTAAACGAATGGCCCACTCATTTGACAACATGGCCCATTAATTTTAAAAATGGCCCATTGAATTTATTTTTGGGGGGCCCTGGGCCCATAGAGAAAAAATCCTTCCAGATCACTGTACATGTTTAGATTCAGCATATCAAAGAACCCTAAGAATTCAATTTTTGTTAAAATCAAACTAAGTTTAATTTTGGACCCTTTGGACCTTAATGTAGACCAATTTGAAAACGGAACCAAAAATTAAGAATCTAAATACACGGTTAGATTCGGCATATCAAAGAACCCCAATAATTCAATTTTTGATGAAATCAAACAAAGTTTAATTTTGGACCCTTTTGACCTCAATGTGGACAAAGTTGATAACGGGGCCCAAAAATCAAAAATCTAAATACATGGTTAGATTCAGCATATCAAAGAACCCCATATATTCAATTTTTGTTGAAATCAAACAAAGTTTAATTTTGGACCCCGATTTGGACCAACTTGAAAACTGGGCCCATAATCAAAAATCTAAATACATGTTTAGATTCAGCATATCAAAGAACCCTAAGAATTCAATTTTTGTTAAAATCAAACTAAGTTTAATTTTGGACCCTTTGGACCTTAATGTAGACCAATTTGAAAACGGAACCAAAATTTAAGAATCTAAATACACAGTTAGATTCGGCATATCAAAGAACCCCAATAATTCAATTTTTGATGAAATCAAACAAAGTTTAATTTTGGACCCTTTGGACCTCAATGTGGACCAATTTAAAAACGGGGCCCAAAATCCAAAAACTAAATACACGGTTAGATTCAGCATATTAAAGAACCCCATGAAATCAAAAATAAAACCCCATTGAAATTGGTCAAGAAATAAGCAATTTATAGGAAGTATCTTCTTTTGCACAATCCTGTGCTATTAAATATTTCTTGCTATTGCGCAATACTGTACAATTGACAATTTCTTGCTATTGCGCAATATTGTGCTATTGGATATTTCTTGCTATTGCGCAATACTGTGCAATTGAAGATTTCTTGCTATTGCGCATTACTGTGCAATTGAAGATTTCTTGCTATTGTGCAATACTGTGCAATTGAAAATTTCTTGCTATTGCACAATACTTATTATATAATAATTTACACATCCTGTTTGGTGTGTATCTCCTACCATATCATTATTATTTGATTTTAAATATAAATCAGAAATAACCAACTTAAAATGGAAAAATTTAAAAGAAACAAAAAAGGAAAAAAAGAAAAAAAAGGAAAAAAAAATAAATCCCCCCCCCCAAATTTTTTGAACCCCCATTATGATTCATCACCCCCAAACTCAATCCCAGCCTTCCCTTTGTGGTATGGTACCTTGCAGTACAATTTCAGAGAGATCCATACACTTGAACACAAGTTATTGTCTGGAAACTAGAAAAAAATGTGTTTTTTGGCCCCTTTTTGGCCCCAAATTCCTAAACGTTTAGGGCAATTACCCCCAAACTCAAACCCAGCTTTCCCTTTGTGATATGGAACCTTGTAGTACAATTTCAGAAAGATCCATACACTTACACACAAGTTATTGTCATGAAACTAGAAAAATGCTTGTTTTTTGCCCCTTTTTTGGCCCCTAATTCCTAAAATTTTGAGGCAATTACCCCCAAAATCAATCCCAGCATTCCTTTAGTGATATGGAATCTTGTGGTACAATGTCAGAGAGATCCATACACTAACACACAAGTTATGTCTGGAAGTTACAAAAATGCTTATTTTTGGCCCCTTTTTGGCCCCTAATTCCTTTACTGTTATTACCATTACCCCCAAAATCAATCCCAACCTTCCTTTTGTGGTATTGAACCTTGTGGTAAAATTTCATAAAGATCCATTCACTTAAACTAAAGTTAGAGTGCGAAAACCAATGTGTCTTTGGAGGACACCGACGACGACGACGACGCCGCCAACGTCATACCAATATACGACCACAAAAATTTTTTTGCGGTCGTATAAAAACTGCAAAATTTCCTTAAAACTACCAATTTAGTGACAGCAACCCAACAATGAGTTGTTTGATTCGTCTGAAAATTTCAGGGCTGATAGATCTTGACCAATTAAACAATTTTACTACCTGTCAGATTTGCTCTAAAAGCTTTAGTTTATGAGATATAAGCAAATAAAATGCTCCGCAGGGCGCAGCTTGATACGACCGCAGCGGTCGAACCCTGAACAGTTGGGGCAAGTATGGACACAACATTCAAGCTTGATACAGCTTTGCATTTGGATTGTGATTAAATATTTGACACAGCATAGGTTTCTGACACAGAATGAATGTGGTCTAAGAACTTAAAAATTTTAAATTGGACATTCACCTATTATGGTCCAATATCCAAAATCTAAATACATGGTTAGATTCAGCATATCAAAGAACCCCAAGAATTCAATTTTTGATGAAATCAAACAAAGTTTAATTTTGGACCCTTTTGACCTCAATGTGGACAAAGTTGATAACGGGGCCCAAAAATCTAAATACATGGTTAGATTCAGCATATCAAAGAACCCCATATATTCAATTTTTGTTGAAATCAAACAAAGTTTAATTTTGGACCCCGATTTGGACCAACTTGAAAACTGGGCCCATAATCAAAAATCTAAATACATGTTTAGATTCAGCATATCAAAGAACCCTAAGAATTCAATTTTTGTTTAAATCAAACTAAGTTTAATTTTGGACCCTTTGGACCTCAATGTGGACCAATTTAAAAACTGGGCCCAAAATCCAAAAACTAAATACACGGTTAAACTCACCATATTAAAGAACCCCAAGAATTCAAGAATAAAACCCCATTGAAATTGGTCAAGAAATAAGCAATTTATACAAAGTATCTTCTTTTGCACAAAACTGTGCAATTAAATATTTCTTGCTAATGCGTAATACTGTACAATTGACAATTTCTTGCTATTGCTATTGGATATTTCTTGCTATTGAGCAATACTGTGCAATTGAAGATTTCTTGCTATTGCGCAATACTGTGCAATTGAAGATTTCTTGCTATTGTGCAATACTGTGCAATTGAAAATTTCTTGCTATTGCACAATACTTATTATATAATAATTTACACATCCTGTTTGTTGTGTATCTCCTACCATATCATTATTATTTGCTTTTAAATATAAATCAGAAATAACCAACTTAAAATGGAAGATTTTAAAAGAAAAAAAAAGGAAAAAAAGAAAACCCCCCCCCCAATTTTTTGAACCCCCTTATGGTTCATCACCCCCAAACTCAATCCCAGCCTTCCCTTTGTGGTATGGTACCTTGCAGTACAATTTCAGAGAGATCCATACACTTGAACACAAGTTATTGTCTGGAAACTAGAAAAATGTGTTTTTTGGCCCCTTTTTGGCCCCAAATTCCTAAACGTTTAGGGCAATTATCCCCAAACTCAAACCCAGCTTTCCCTTTGTGATATGGAACCTTGTAGTACAATTTCATAAAGATCCATACACTTACACATAAGTTATTGTCCTGAAACTAGAAAAATGCTTGTTTTTTGCCCCTTTTTGGCTCCTAATTCCTAATATTTTGAGGCAATTACCCCCAAATCAATCCCAGCCTTCCCTTTGTGGTATGGTTCCTTGCAGTACAATTTCAGGGAGATCCATACAGTTGAACACAAGTTATTGTCTGGAAACTAGAACAAGAGGCTCTCAAGAGCCTGAATCGCTCACCTGTATTTCAGAGGAAAAGATTTTTTAAATGTTAGCAAACTGATGAACAAATTGTGTAAAATTGTCTTTAAAGGGCAATAACTCCTTAAGGGGTCAATTGACAATTTTGGTCATATTAACTTTTTTGTAGATCTTACTTTGCTGAACATTATTGCTGCTTACAGTTTATATATATCTATAGTAATATTCAAAATAATAACAAATAACTGCAAAATTTTGTTAAAACTACCAATTCGGTGGCAGCAACCCAACAATGGGTTGTTCGATTCGTCTGAAAATTTCAGGGCCGATAGATCTTGACAATTAAACAATTTTACCCCATATCACATTTGCTCTAAAAGATTTAGTTTTTGAGATATAAGCCAAAAACTGCATTTGACCTTTATGTTCTATTTTTAGCCATGGTGGCCATGTTTGTAGATGGATACAAACTTCGGATACAATTTATATACAAGATACCCTAAGGAACATTTAGTTAAAGTTTGAAGGTAATTGGCCCAGTAGTTTCAGAGGAGAAGATTTTTAAATGTTAGCAAACTTGATGAACAAATTGTGCAAAATTGTCTTTAAAGGGCAATAACTCCTTAAGGGGTCAATTGACAATTATGGTCATATTAACTTTTTTGTAGATCTTACTTTGCTGAACATTAACGCTGCTTACAGTTTATATATATCTATAATAATATTCAAAATAATAACAAAAAACTGCAAAATTTTGTTAAAACTACCAATTCGGTGGCAGCAACCCAACAATGGGTTGTTCAATTCGTTTGAAAATTTCATAACTGATAGATATTGACCAATTGAACAATTGTACCCCATATCAGATGTGCTCTAAAACCTTTAGTTTTTGAGATATAAGCCAAAAACTGCATTTGACCCCTATGTTCTATTTGTAGCCATGGCGGCCATGTTTGTCGATGGATCAAATCTTCGGATACAATTTATAAACTAGATACCCTAAGGAACATTTATTTAAAGTTTGAAGGTATTTGGCCCAGTAGTTTCAGAGGAGAAGATATTTGAAATAGTTTACGACGACGACAATAGGCGATGACAAACGACGACAGACGCCAAGTGATGGCATAACTTCACATGGGGCCCTTCGGGCCCCGGTGAGCTAAAAATGCTTATTTTTGGCCCCTAATTCCTTAACTGTTGGTACCATAACCCCTAAAATATTAATCCCAACCTTCCTTTTGTGGTATTGAACCTTATGGTAAAATTTCATTGAGATCCATTAACTTAAAGTTATTGTGCGAAAACCAATGTGTCTTCAGACGACGACGAAAACTGAAAACATGCAACACAGTATGGCATGACCAGAAAGACCTTAGTGCCATCTATCAAGAACTGAGATTTATAGTTACTGAATAAAATGCAACAGAAATATGTTACGAAAAGAAAGATGTGTAAATAAATGGAGAATGTGTCCATGGGACACAGATGATGCCCCCTCTTGCATACAACGTATAAAGTGACATAACTCAAGAATGATAAAAGTGACGCCACCCAAATTCATGCTTGATCTGTGTTTTGTGGTTATAAGCATTGTGTTTAAGTTTCATAACATTTGGTTAAGGCAAACTTAAGTTAGAGAACGGAAACGAAAAATTCTGCAATTTTTCCATTTGTAAAGGGACATAACTCTAGAGCGGTATAAGTGACACCACCAAAATTCAAACTTGATCCAGTTTTGTGGTTATAAGCATTGTGTATAAGTTTCATAACATTTAGTTGAGGTAAACTTAAGTTAGAGAACGGAAACAAAAAATTCAGCAATTTTTCCATTTGTAAAGGGGCATAACTCTTGAAAAGTAGAAGTGATGACACCCAAATTCAAACTTAATCTGTGTTTTGTGGTAATAATCATTGTGTATAAGTTTCATAACATTTGGTTGAGGCAAACTAAAGTTAGAGAACGGAAACCAATTTCGGGACGTACAGACGGACAAGGGTAAAACTACGGAGGGGGCATAAAAAGAATATAAACTACTCCTTGGAAGCAGCTGTATAAAGTTTGCAACACCTGTAAACCTATTCATACTTTGTAAAGATCTTGTGAGTCTTTGAGAAGTTTAAACCATGGAGCCATTCTGTCTCGTAACTTTTCATTCCACACTCTGTATGGCATTATACCAGTTCTGTCTAACCTGAATTAGAAAAATTAAAATTAGTGCCATTGTCAGGTACACCAACTAATCTGAAAAAAATGTCTTTATAGCTTGTCAAATGCACAGGTGCTCAGGGAATTGACCTCTTTTTTTCTTTATCCAGCTGGCAGGAAAGACTGAAAATTTAAATATCACAATTTACTCGCCTCTGACACATTTAATGCACCATATTTGAACTTAATCATACAAATTATGAAGTTGACGTCAAACGCATGCTCTGTTAAACTCCAAAGGCAAGGAATGAATCATGAAGTCTGGTTAGTTTGAAAACCGTTTACAGCTGCCAAAATTTAAAAAACACAGGAAACCTTTCAAACTTATTGTACTCATGATTCATGCCTTGGAATCCATATTGATAGGTATACCACAAATAATAACCGATCCAAAATACACAGGACAACAATCTTGTTAACAAAATGAATAAAAAGCTTTTTATTTTCTACTCCGAAATGAGTTGTTTTTAATACTTCAACCATTACCTCATATTTATGTTTTTAGTGAAAGAGAGCAAGTTCAAAAATACACTTCACCTGATTGGACATACCTTAAATGGTTACCTAATGATTTGATTGATTGGTGTTTAACGCCACTTTCAACATTATTGTGCTATTTCGTGGTGGTCAGTTTTTATTGGTGGAGGAAGCCGGAGTGTCTAGAGAGAACCACCGACTCTAGGTAGGACTCTGATCGGACTAGTCATAAAAAAAAATCGTAAATGTTCTGCGGAACCCAGTGTCTCGCCTACTTTTGCTGTTAATCGAAGGCTCAACAAAAATTAGTAAAAAAAAATAATAACAATATTCCTTTCAATACTATCTTTTGATTGTAAGAAGCTTCTGTCCAAGTTTGGTAAAAATCCAAGATAGTTTATGAATCTAATAAATGTTTTAAATCTTTAACTGCAGACTGTATGTAATGTTAACTGGAAGAAAAACTAAGTCCATTTATAAGTAAAATACAGATAAACAGGTACAAAATTTTAAATTTTTTTTCTAGATACTAGATATTGATCATAAACAAGCTTCTGTCCAAGTTTGGTACAAATCCAGGATAGTTAAAGATAGTTATTAAAATTTTAAAAACTTTAACCACAGAGTGAATGTAATGTTTCCTGGCAGAAAAACTAAGTCCATTTATAAGTAAAATACGGAAAAACAGGATATTTATTTTTACAAAATTTACTTCTGGATACTATCTTATGATCATAAACAAGCTTTTAACTGTCCAAGTTTGTTAGAAATCCAGGATAGTTTAAGAAATTAATTTAAATTTCAAAAACTTTAAACACAGAGTGAATATTTGTGGACGCCGCCGCCGACGGAATGTATGATCGCTATGTCTCGCTTTTTCGACAAAAGTCGTAGGCTGGACAACAAGGAAATATAAACAAAAGATGATAATAAAATGCTCCGCAGGGCGCAGCTTGATACGACCACAGAGGTCGAACCCTGAACAGTTGGGGCAAGTATGGACACAACATTCAAGCTTGATACAGTTTGCATTTGGATTGTGATTAAATATTTGACACAGCATAGGTTTCTGACACAGAATGAATGTGGTCTAAGAACTTAAAAATTTTAAATTGGACATTCACCTATTATGGTCCAATATCCAAAATCTAAATACATGGTTAGATTCAGCATATCAAAGAACCCCAAGAATTCAATTTTTGATGAAATCAAACAAAGTTTAATTTTGGACCCTTTCGACCTCAATGTGGACAAAGTTAATAACAGGGCCCAAAAATCAAAAATCTAAATACATGGTTAGATTCAGCATATCAAAGAACCCCATATATTCAATTTTTGTTGAAATCAAATAAAGTTTAATTTTGGACCCCGATTTGGACCAACTTGAAAACTGGGCCCATAATCAAAAATCTAAATACATGTTTAGATTCAGTATATCAAAGAACCCTACCAATTCCATTTTTGTTAAAATCAAACTAAGTTTAATTTTGGACCCTTTGGACCTTAATGTAGACTTATTTGAAAACGGAACCAAAAATTAAGAATCTAAATACACGGTTAGATTCGGCATATCAAAGAACCCCAATAATTCAATTTTTGATGAAATCAAACAAAGTTTAATTTTGGACCTTTTGGACCTCAATGTGGACCAATTTAAAAACTTGGCCCAAAATCCAAAAACTAAATACACGGTTAGATTCAGCATATTAAAGAACCCCAAGAATTCAAGAATAAAACCCCATTGAAATTGGTCAAGAAATAAGCAATTTATACAAAGTATCTTCATTTGCACAATACTATGCAATTAAATATTTCTTGCTATTGCGCAATACTGTACAATTGACAATTTCTTGCTATTGCGCAATATTGTGCTATTGGATATTTCTTGCTATTGCGCAATACTGTGCAATTGAAGATTTCTTGCTATTGCGCAATACTGTGCAACTGAAGATTACTTGCTATTGTGCAATACTGTGCAATTGAAAATTTCTTGCTATTGCACAATACTTATTATATAATAATTTACACATCCTGTTTGGTGTGTATCTCCTACCATATCATTATCATTTGCTTTTAAATAAAAATCAGAAATAACCAACTTAAAATGGAAAATTTTAAAAGAAAATATAGGAAAAAAAGAAAAAAAAGGAAAAAAAAAAAATCCCCCCCTCCCCAAATTTTTTGAACCCCCTTATGATTCATCACACCCAAACTCAATCCCAGCCTTCCCTTTGTGGTATGGTACCTTGCAGTACAATTTCAGAGAGATCCATACACTTACACACAAGTTATTGTCTGGAAACTAGAAAAATGTGTTTTTTGGCCCCTTTTTGGCCCCAAATTCCTAAAATATTGAGGCAATTACCCCCATCATCAATCCCAGCCTTCCCTTTGTGGTATGGTACCTTGCAGTACAATTTCAGAGAGATCCATACACTTGAACACAAGTAATTGTCTGGAAACTAGAAAAATGCTTATTTTTGGCCCCTTTTTGGCCCCCAATTCCTAAACGTTTCGGCAATTACCCCCAAACTCAATTCCAGCTTTCCCTTTGTGATATGGAACCTTGTAGTACAATTTCAGAAAGATCCATACACTTACACACAAGTTATTGTCATGAAACTAGAAAAATGCTTGTTTTTTGCCCCTTTTTTGGCCCCTAATTCCTAAAATTTTGAGGCAATTACCCCCAAAATCAATCCCAGCATTCCTTTTGTGATATGGAACCTTGTGGTACAATGTCAGAGAGATCCATACACTAACATACAAGTTATGTCTGGAAGTTACAAAAATGCTTATTTTTGGCCCCTTTTTGGCCCCTTATTCCTTTACTGTTGGTACCATAACCCCTAAAATCAATCCCAACCTTCCTTTTGTGGTATTGAAGCTTGTGATAAATTTTCATAGAGATCCATACACTTAAACTAAAGTTAAGAGTGCGAAAACCAATGTGTCTTCGGACGACGCCGACGCATACCAATATACGACCACAAAAATTTTTTTGCGGTCATATAAAAATTTGTTTAAAGCAAATTTGTAAAAAATAATACCGTAGTAAGATAATCATTTAACTTTGTCCTAACCTATCTAAGTAGTTTAAGCATGTCACTAGTTCAGTTTTCTTCATTCTTTATGTCAATATTAATATGATGTTTAACAAGCATTCTGTGAGTATTGCCTGGCAATACATAGTCCCCTACTGGTTAAAAATTCATTGTACTGGAACAAAATGCTAACTTGATCTACAACTTGTCCTGGTGTAAACTATATAACAAATATCAAGTTAATATCTTCAAGCATGACAAAAAAAATGTGGAAAATAGATTATTTGAGTGAATTTTCTAAGTCCAAGGACCATAACTCTGCACAAAATAATTAGACCGGAACAAAATTTGAAATTGATCTGTAACTTGTCATGATTAAACAATACACCAAATATCAAATCAATATCTTCAAGCACGAAGAAAAAAGTGTGGAAAACTGATTTGCCTGACTGACCGAGGGACAGACAGACGGGCGGAGTGCAAACCTAAAGTCCCCTTAGACTTCTTCGGTAGGGGACTAATTACAGGAACGGCAAATGTTTGCCTTCACCTAGCGCTTAATTTGATCCAAAAAAATTGCTGTGTTGTCCTATTAGAATAGAAATAATTCAGGGTGGCTTGCATTTATACTGATCTTCCTACGAGTTTGCCCTTTATGGCCATAATTTACACCTTGCTATCACTCGTGGTAAAACGTTAAGTAAAAATTGCCAGGCCATGATAAAATCAGAATTCAAGCCCTCATGAACTATTTCTTAAGTATACATGTCTCTTTGGAAGTGTGTACCATGTGTTCTATAAGTCACACCTGCTCAGGTGACATCAATGAGGTAATAATTCATATCAACATACTTGTGTCTTTGGAATGGTGTACTCAGTAAGGTTGTCATCACTCTCTGTAGAGTAGAACTTTCTCTTGGCATGAACAGACACCTCTCTAGCTCAAACTGTGCAACCTCTCCAATGTTTAGTGGGTAATGACAAAGGAATAACAGCAATCCTATGGATGGCAACTGAAAATATTTAAAATATGTAGTTGTTAGTTAAGATAATGTACTCCATTACATATTTAGTTGGTTAAAAAACAAGAATGCACATGCTGAAATGTCTCACTTGCTTTACTACTATTGATTTTATGTTGATAGCCCTAAATATAAGTATCACATTAACAATCATTCCATACATTGAAACTACATGTAGTTGACCTATTGCTTATAGTAAACAAGAAACAGACCACACCATGAAAACTTTATATTTACCAATGAACCATGAATATGAGGTCAAGGTCAGATGAACCCAGCCAGACAGACATGTACATTTTAGTGACTTTACAATCATTTCATGGATCAAATATAGTTGATGTATAAAATATAGTATCTACGAAACAAATTTAACCACAAAAACTTATCATTGACCAATGAACCATGAAAATGAGGCCAAGGTCAAATGATATTTGTCTGGCAGACAGACATATAAACATTACAATAATTCCATACATCAAACATAGTTGACTTATTTCTTATAGTTTAAGAAAAACAGACAAAACACAAAAACTTAACATTGAGCAATGAACCGTGAAAATGATGTCAAGGTCAAATAAAACCTGCCAGACTGACATGTACTTCATACAATATTTCCATACACCAAATATAGCTGACCTATTGCATGTATATTGCATACAGTATTAGAAAAACGGACCAAAACACAAAAACTTAACTTTAACTACTGAACCATGAAAATGAGGTCAAGGTCAGATGACACCTGCCAGTTGGACATCTTCTAATCATTCCATACACCAAATATAGTAGACCTATTGCTTATAGTATCTGAGATATGGACTTGACCATGAAAACTTAACCTTGTTCACTGATCCATGAAATTCGTCGAGGTCAAGTGAAACTGTCTGACAGGCATGAGGACTATGCAAGGTATGCACATACCAAATATAGTTACCCTATAACTCATAATAAGAGAGAAATTAACATTAGAAAAAAATCTAAATTTTTTTTCAAGTAGTCACTGAACCATGAAAATGAGGTCAAGGACAAAGGACATATGACAGACGGAAACTTCATAACATAAGGCATCTATATACAAAGTATGAAGCATCCAGGTCTTCTACCTTCTGAAATATTAAGCTTTTAAGTAGTTAGTTAATGCCACCGTGGCCGCTGCCGGATCACTATCCCTATGTCGAGCTTTGTGCGACAAAAGTTGCAGGCTTGACAAAAATCATATGATTTCCATGGGTCAACATGACACATGTTTTTAATTAACGTTCATCAGGTACACAAGAGACCAAATAAACTGTTATCACAGAGATATGTCTCGCCTTTTTGTAATTTTGATAATGCAAATGTTGAAATTAAAATAGCAATACTTTAACATGTAAGTTATGCAAATATTCAAAGTCGATGAACCATGACTGAACTGAAGGTACATGGCTAAACAATATCCATGGAATGAGATGTGCCAATGCTAATACAACTGCATACCAAATACCATTGACTTATTATAAGTCGTTCCCTTTAAACAAACCTAAACACAAACATTAACTTGTAAACTATGTAAAAGTTTCAAAGTCAATGAACCATGATCAGGGGTGGGGCTATATAATCTCCATGGAAAAGATACTTGCAAATGCCAGTACATTTGCATACCAAATATCATTGACTTAACATTAGCAGTTCATCTTAAACTGATCTAATCACAAACTAATACATGTAAACTAAGCAAAAGTTTCAAAGTCAATAGACCATGACTGAGGGGGCGGGGCCAAATATTCTCCATGGAAATGAGATGTGCTAATGCTTATAAATACAACTGAACACCAACTAACATTGGCCTACTACTAATGGTTCCCCTTGAACTGACCTAATCACAAACTAATCCATGTTAACTTAGCAAAATTTTCAAAGTCTATAGACCATGACTGAGGGGGCTGAGCCAAATAATCTCCATGGAAATGAGATATGCCAATGCTTATACAACTGCATACCAAATATCATTGACCTACAACTAGTGGTTCCCCATAAATTGACCTAATCACAAACTAATACATTGTTGACGCTGCCGCCGGAAACAGCATACCTATGTCTTGCTTTTCGACTCCGTCAAGGCGAGACAAAAACTAATACATTGTTGACACCACCGCCAGAAACAGCGTACCTAGGTCTCACTTTTTGACTCCATCAAGGCGAGACAAAAATTGGAAAGCCAAACATTTCTGAGCAAGAAAATCACCCGTTTCAATAAAAATTCACAGACAAAAGGTAAAGTAGAGGACTAAAAAAAAATCTATATGCTTTCTAAAAATCCATTTAGGTTACATACTCATACATTGTTAAGTTTAAAGCTATTTCCAAACCACACCATTAAATTTTCTAGAGAATAGTTGTAATGAATCCCTTGTAGTTTAAGTCATTTTTGTCTCATTTATTGATTGATTTTTTTACGCTGGATCAGCACAAAAAGGCCATGTCTCGGCGAGCGATTTCAAATATAATAACAAGATGCTTTTTTAAAATCAGACAGAAAGTCTTTCAATGTACTAACACTATAGTTTTAAGCGAAATTACTTATTTTCTAATAAAAATTCATCAATAAGATAACATGATAATAAAATGCTTCGCTGGGGCGCAGCTTGATACGACCGCAGAGGTCGAACCCTGAACAGTTGGGGCAAGTATGGACACAACATTCAAGCTTGATACAGCTCTGAATTTGGATTGTTATTAAATATTTGACACAGCATAGGTTTCTGACACAGAAAGAATGTGGTCTAAGAACTTGAATTTTTTTAATTTACCTATTATGGTCCAATGTCCAAAATCAAAATACATGGTTAGATTCAGCATATCAAAGAACCCCATATTTTCAATTTTTGTTGAAATCAAACAAAGTTTAATTTTGGACCCCAACTTGGACAAACTTGAAAACTGGGCCCATAATCAAAAATCTAAACACATGTTTAGATTCAGCATATCAAAGAACCCCAAGAATTCAAATTTTGCTAAAATCAAACTAAGTTTAATTTTGGACCCTTTGGACCTTAATGAAGACCAATTTAAAAAACGGGACTTAAAATTAAAAATCTAAATACACGGTTAGATTTGGAATATCAAAGAACCCCAATAATTCAATTTTTGATGAAATCAAACAAAGTTTAATTTTGGACCCTTTTGACCTCAATATGAACCAATTTGATAGCGGGGCCCACAAATAAAAAATCTAAATTCATGGTTAGATTCAGCATATCAAAGAACCCCATATATTCAATTTTTGTTGAAATCAAAAAAAGTTTAATTTTGGACCCCAACTTGGACCAACTTGAAAACTGGGCCCATAATCAAAAATCTAAACACATGTTTAGATTCAGCATATCAAAGAACCCCAAGAATTCAATTTTTTTTTAATATCAAACTAAGTTTAATTTTGGACCCTTTGGACCTCAATGAAGACCAATTTAAAAAACGGGACCCAAATTAAAAATCTAAAAACACGGTTAGATTTGGCATATCAAAGAACCCCAATAATTCAATTTTTGATGAAATCAAACAAAGTTTAATTTTGGACCCTTTTGACCTCAATATGAACCAATTTGATAGCGGGGCCCACAAATAAAAAATCTAAATACATGGTTAGATTCAGCACATCAAAGAACCTCATATATTCAATTTTTGTTGAAATCAAACAAAGTTTAATTTTAGACCCCAATTTGGACCAACTTGAAAACTGGGCCCATAATCAAAAATCTAAATACATGTTTAGATTCAGCATATCAAAGAACCCCATATATTCAATTTTTGTTGAAATCAAACAAAGTTTAAATACTGGACCCTATCTTGGACCAACTTGAAAACTGGGCCCATAATCAAAAATCTAAATACATGTTTAGATTCAGCATATCAAAGAACCCCAAGAATTCAATTTTTGTTAAAATCAAACTAAGTTTAATTTTGGACCCTTTGGACCTTAATGTAGACCAATTTAAAAAACAGGACCCAAAATTAAAAATCTAAATACACGGTTAGATTTGGAATATCAAAGAACCCCAATAATTCAATTTTAGATGAAATCAAACAAAGTTTAATTTTGGACCCTTTTGACCTCAATATGAACCAATTTGATAACGGGGTCCACAAATAAAAAATCTAAATACATGGTTAGATTCAGCATATCAAAGAACCCCATACATTCAATTTTTGTTGAAATCAAACAAAGTTTAATTTTGGACCCCAATTTTGACCAACTTGAAAACTGGGCCAAAAATCAAAAATCTAAATACATGTTTAGATTCAGCATATCAAAGAACCTCATATATTCAATTTTTGCTAAAATCAAACAAAGTTTAATTTTGGACCCTTTGGACCTTAATGTAGACCAATTTGAAAACTGGACCCAAAATTAAAAATCTAAATACACTGTTAGATTCGGCATAACAAATAAATAAATGTGATCAAAGATTTTACAAATCTAATGCGCCATACTGTGCAATTAAAGATTACTTCTTGAAATTTTTCAATATTTGAAATTTGAAAAAAAAATAATATTTGAAGAATAATTCTTTTTTTTCTGAAATCTGAAATGAGAAAAAATTGACCCCCCACAATTTCTTTTTATCCCCCCCCCCCCTTTTTTCCCCAAAAAAATTCTTTCCCTCAAGATATGGTGATAATCTCAATTCAAATTTCCAATGGAGTTGGCAACCATAATTACCCATTTAAATTTACCATAGAATTAAAAATATAGTGTCAAATCTTTCATATTGATTTTTTTGTAAAAAAAAAAGATGCAACATTTGCAGATATTTTTACTGGTCTTCCTTTATAAATATGCATTTCTTTAAACATAATTTAAAAGCAGTGTAAGGGAAGTTACCAAAACGTTGTATTTGGATTACCTCCCTTTCACTGTTTTAAATTATCTTTATTGTTCATTAACCATTACTTTATACATAATTTAAAAGCAGTGTAAAGGAGATAATTTCAATGATGTATTTGATTTATCTCCCTTACACTGCTTTAAATTATGTTTTGTACTAAAGTATTTGTCCATTAACCAGGACAACCTTGTTTTTCCCCCTTTTTTGCCCCTAATTCCTAAACGGTTTGAGCCATAACCCCCCAAAGCAAATCCTAACCATCCCTTTGTGGTATGGAAACTTGTAGTATAATTTCAGAGAGATCCATACACTATTCCACAGTTATTGTCTGGAAACTAGAAAATGCTTATTTTTGGCCCCTTTTTGGCCCCTAATTCCTTAACTGTTGGTACCATAACCCCCAAAATCAATCCCAACCTTCCTTTTGTGGTATTTAACCTAATGGTCAAATTTCAAAAAGATCCATTCACTTAAACTAAAGTTAGAGTGCGAAAACCAATGTGTCTTCGGACGACGACGCCGGACGACGACGACGACGCCAACGTCATACCAATATACGACCACAAAATTTTTTTGCGGTCGTATAAAAACTTAAAATTGTTTTAAACTAATACAACAAATTCATATTTTGGAATATATTCCAATTTCTTTTAAAAATGAAAAAATTATTTCAACAGGAATATCATCATTCAATTAAAATATGCTTAATTGTAAACTTGCAATCGCAAGGTATGCATTCTGGTCGAATTTCATTTTTTAAACAGATATAAGAAGGATACTCGTGTGTTATTCTAGCATGACCAATAGGGCATCTAGAAATAATACTCTGATCTTTCCTGCATATAAAATTTGTTTAATGGTTTGCATATATTTGATTTAATTTCATGCAATTTATTGTTGTTCCTTTTACTTTTGCATTCTTGTCATTTATACCTACCCATAAACTGATCTTTCCAACACCTACAAGATAGTTTAAATTACCTCCCACATGGCCTTGACATTTTCTCTTTGACCTTCCATCAACTTATCTTCCCACTCCATCATCCCCTGAATGTGAGATTCCAAAACAGCCTTCCTGTCTAACATCTGTTTTTTTCTAGCATCTCTTCCCTTTTGGAGTTCCTCTACTCTGAGCTGATTTAACAAAGCTGTGGAATCATGTGGGATGACAGCCCTTGACCTTCGTCTCATACCTTGAAAGACATGACTACATGCTTTATGTTTAAGTGATTTAAGAAAACATATAATTATTAAGATGTACATGAGGGTCTGGATTGGCTTTATAGAAAAGAGAATAATTATATATATAATGAGTCAATACTACAGAAAAAGGGCAAACGAAATAAAGAATAGAGAATAATGAGGCAATAAAATATATTTATAAAGAATAGAGAATAATGGGTAAAATTTTTAAAAAATAAAGAAAAATAGCTTAGAAAATAAAGAAAACAGAATTGAAGGACCTTCCACCCAGACCCAAGTACATACATGGCCCTGAGAGATTATAGTAGATGGTCAACATCTACAGTATATATTTAAATCACTTTCTTCAGATTACCACAGCTGTAGGATTCAAGAGTCATTTTGTTTATTGCCACATGTGTGCTTCTCTTCTGGAGCACCTGAGATCACCCCCGGTTTTTGGTGGGGCTCATGTTGCTGAGTCTATAGTTTACTATGTTATGATTTGTATACTATTGTTTGATTTTTTATTGTTTTTCGTTCTTTTGCTATGGCAGTCATTTTTTTTAACATAACAGTTTGAAAGTCCCTTTGGTATCTTTCGCCTCTCTTGTTCTGGGCAAGGTGCACTTAATTAACCTTTGTATCAACCTAGGGACTAGACAAAATTGTCAAATATACTAATACACATATTTCTTCCCACAAACTTCAAATAGCATCAAGGTAAACAGGGTATTCTTAAAGACCCTCTTTTTTTTCTAGATATTATAGCATGACATCTATAACACAATCTATTAGAAAATCAATTCAGATAGGAACACATTTTCATGCTATACACACTTAAGCAATATAGCATCATTTATGAATTAGAATTGAGGAGTGACCTTGGCCTCTGTTTTAAACTTTACATTTTTAATTACCCCAGGTCTGTTTTAAAGGCCTCAATGACTTTGAGATGAAGATCAGCAAAAAAAGATGCGTTTCTTAGCATTAGGTTCTGTCAAAAATATGGAATTTTATGTCATGAACTAATGCCCATTATTGCACATTGAGTAAATTGGTGACCATGTGATTGGTTTAACGTCATCTTGAGGCTAAGGGGGTCAGTAAATTTCATAGGGGTATCATGGCGTACCTGTCTACTATTATTGATATTATTTTTTATTATTATACTTCACGTTAAAATGCCATATTTTGATTGGCTAATACGAGGGTGTTAATTTACTCTATCACATGGCTGAGCGGGTGACAATTTTTTTGAATGTCACCCTCTCGTCCAGACCAATCAAAAATCGATAATTTAAAGGACAATGAATTGAGTTTACATCAAGTAATTAAATACAATGCTTAAGTTCTACGTTTTGGCTCAGATTTTATTATTTGACTGTCAAAATAAGAAATAAAACATCTTGCCTCACTTTTATTGTCTTTTCTAATACCCGTAACGTTGTTATATACGTGACGTCATAGAAAATACTTTTAAAATAAAATTAATCTGTAAAAGACAATAATGATAGGACATTCAGTATAATAAATTAAATAACACATAGCTGAGAGGGTGATAGAGCAGATTGGTAACCCACGAAAAAGCATTGTCAACCTTGGCTTCGCCGCGGTTGACAATGTTTTCTCGGGGTAACAATCTGCTCTATCACCCTCTCAGCTATGTGTTATTTATATAATGTTCAATTTTATACAATTAATACAAAACTTGGCAGGAAAAGTCCCATGTGTGATAAATTCGTTATAAAGTTCGCTACTAATCCCCATAGGAGATACCACTTATGACCTCACCCCTATGGATTTTACTCACAGAATGGATCTGTTAGGGTTCAGTAGCAAACCATATAACTTATAATATCCCTATTATCACTATTGGTATTTTGAACAGATATATCATGTTAAGGAGGGGTATTTGCGAAAAATACCAGTCGAGAGAATGTTAAATTCATTCTCAAGACTGGTATTTTTCGCAAATACCCCTCAAGAACATGCTACACTGAATGTTAACGTTCAAAAACACATTGATGATCGTGACGTTTCAAGCGTCCAGTCGGATAGAGTATTTTTTGGCAAATACCATGAGGGTAAAAAAGGCATATCCTTTTTGCATATACCCCGGCGGCGTTAAAAAATGAACGATATTCATTTGATAACAATAAATTGGTGAAAAATACACTGGATATCAACCAATCAAAACCCAGGATTCTTACATAAGGTGTAATTATCAATACAAACCTGGTATCATTGGGAATGAATCATCTTGTTGTTGTCCAGAAGTAGCAGAAATACTTGTCTTCTCTCTTAAGTCTCTGAATAGATAAAAGCATATGTGAACTTGTACAGTACAAAGATCAATATATAATAATACTTTTTAGTAATCCAATTTATATTTTCAGGAGAAACTTCACTATATCATGTATATCGTTTGAAGGTTTAAACATTATCATATCATGACTATAGGAGCAGCTGATGTGGCAGAAACTGTATATCCTTTCCAGACCACTTCTACTTTTAGTAGAGTTCATGTTGCTTAATCTTTAGTGTTCTAAATTAGCATACAACTTTGAGGTCTTTTTCTTCATTTTGCTATGGGTTTGTAGCTCTTTGACATCTAAATTTTCAACGTTGACCTTTAAGAATCTTTTTTTTTATAAATTATATTGTTTCCGACTGACATTTTAAACTTCAAATAGGATTTATCATCATGTACATGTACAAGTACCTATCTATATGTACCTTCATTATTTGAATTCATTTTACAAAAGGACTTAGACCTATAATAATTGCAAACTTCTACGTCATTTGGTCTCTGGTAGAGAGAGTCTCAATAGAAATCATACTACATCTTCTTATTTTTCTATAACAATTTATACTATTTCTAATTACCATGATTACCAGAAATACAACATACACCGAATCATTAACCCAACAAAAACAAATCACATTGCTTATTATAAATGTATTACCGAGACAACAAATTTAATTTCTGTTCCATCATTGTTTCTAGCTTCTGTGCCCTTTTAGAGACAAAATGATCTGGTCCATTGAATCTGTAACAGTTTTCCAACATCTGGCGAAAATCTCCAACAAACTGAGTTATAGATCCATACTCTCTGTTGTCAAACTTTTCTTTCACTGAAAAAGACAAATTTAGTTACGGTTTTAATGCAAATTAAATTTTTCTCTTGAGGATTATATAAACAGGACCATTAACCACAATTTACACCTCTTACAATCAGCAATCACCCTGTTTCTCGGTGAACCAACTGATACCTGTAAAAGTTAATTTTGACTAAAACAACTTGTATGATCTGTTAATTTGATGAAAAAGGAATATTCAGGCTACTGTTGTGGTACTTCAATTTAGGAGATGGTTTGTTTGTATATAAACAGTTCCACTGTTTTTTTTCAGGTTTTCAATTGATGTTTATATTTTTACAGATGAAGGAGTTCTTTCTGTTGTTTGTAAATATTAATATTGGCAGTACCAGTTTAGTGCAGAACCTATAAGTTGGTGTACAAATATACATGGCCTTTGAAATGACTCACTATTTACGATTTTTCAACTTTTATAGGTCAACCATCATCATAAAAGATGTTCAACAGTGATTTCTATTTAACCTGTTGAAGTTCGTGAAAAAGATAGATAACTTTTGCTTTATTCTGACTTGTTGGGGCCATGAAATGTTGAGACTTATTCATTTCAGAGTTCTGGACTGATGTGAGTTGTGAAAGTTGTCCAGCAGTTCGGGAGCAGAAACGCAAAAGTGAGACACAAGGACGCTGGAATGGTTGAATACCCCATCACAATTTGTCGATCATTTAAAAAACAGGGGTTAAATACATGGGGAATGTGTCCATGGGACACAGATGATGCCTCTGTTGGCATATAATGTTATAAAGGGACAGTTGAAAGTGAATAATTAATCAACGATGTTCCTTAGCTTATTTTGACATAATTGAACCAAACTGGCTTGTAAACATGGTAAAAGGGAATTATTATTTCACTTTCATTGGTGATTGAACAAAAACAAATTGTATTTTAATTTTTTTTATATCTTGTAGCTAATGCCCCTTTAAATCAAATGGAAATAAAATTAACTTCAAAACTAAATTTCTTACTTTTATACATTCTTGTCATACACGAGTGTGTGGTAGCTTTGGGTTGATCATGTTTATTAAATAGAGAATGAATAATGGGCCAAATTTATCAAGAACGGGCAAAAAAAATAAAAAAAATTCGTAAGGGTTCGGCGGAACCCAGTGTCTCGCCTACTTTTGCTGTTAATCACAGGCTCAACAAAAATGAGGAAAAAAATTAATAAAAATATTCCTCTCTATACTATCTTTTGATTGTAAGGAGCTTCTGTCCAAGTTTTGTAAAAATCCAGGATAGTTTATGAATCTAATAAATGTTTTAAAAACTTAAACTGCAGACTGTATGTAATGTTAACTGGAAGAAAAACTAAGTCCATTTATAAGTAAAATACGGAAAAAATGGAACAAAATTTTAACAAAATTTCCTTCTAGATACTAGCTTTTAATCATAAACAAGCTTCTGTCCAAGTTTGGTACAAATCCAGGATAGTTTAAGAAAGTTGTTAAAATTTTAAAAACTTTAACCACAGAGTGAATGTAATGTTAACTGGCAGAAAAACTAAGTCCATTTATAAGTAAAATACGGAAAAAATGGAATTTTTTTTTTACAAAATTTACTTCTGGATACTATCTTATGATCATAAACAAGCTTCTTTCCAAGTTTGGTAGAAATCCAGGATAGTTTAAGAAAGTTATTAAAATTTCAAAAACTTTAACCACAGAGTGAATGTAATGTTTCTTGGCAGAAAAACTAAGTCCATTTATAAGTAAAATACGGAAAAAATGGATTTATTTTTTTACAAAATTTACTTTTGAATATTATCTTATGATCATAGACAAGCTTCTGTCCAAGTTTGGTAGAAATCCAGGATAGTTTAAGAAAGTTATTAAAATTTCAAAAACTTTAACCACAGAGTGAATATTTGTGGACGCCGCCGCCGACGACGACGACGACGACGACGACGCCGACGGAATGTAGGATCGCTATGTCTCGCTTTTTCGACAAAAGTCGAAGGCTCGACAAAAATAGAGAAATTGAATGGCCTATGAATTTAACAAATACAGAAATGAAAACCCCCCATAAAAACCGTTGTTTATCATGTGTCTCTACTTTGCATAACTTAATTTAAATGTACAAAAATATCTCAAACTACATGATTTGCATTTTTATCAGTAATTAAACATCGCACATTTGTATTTTTATTGACATCTAGAATTCTGTTACAAGTACAAATGTATAAAAATATCATAAATGATATATTATTACTTGTTTAAACTATATCACAATGTCTAGTATGTCGTTCCCAAATTCACCAGTAAAACTCGTACATTTGCTTTGTCATACTGCACAAAAGATAAAATGTACATTCCATGGGAGACAACTCTAACACAACTTTCCAAGAACTCCATAGTTATCTCCCATTTGACAAAGCATGAAATAAGTATTGTGAAAGTTCAAGTATTTATTTACCATAAAAAATAAGTAGTCAAAATGGTTAATTCAAGAAGTGATTAACAGATTCTATTCATTACATACATGACATACAAGTGTACATACAAAATGTACTTTAATAAAATTGAGAATGGAAATGGGGAATGTGTCAAAGAGACAACAACCCGACCACAGAACAGACAACAGCAGAAGGCCACCAACAGGTCTTCAATGCAGCAAGAAATTCCCGAACCCGGAGGCGTCCTTCAGCTGGCCGCTAAACAAATATATATACTAGTTCAGTGATAATGAACGCCATACTAAACTCCAAATTGTACACAAGAAATTAAAATTAAAAATAATACAAGACTAACAAAGGCTAGAGGCTCCTGACTTGGGACAGGCGCAAAAATGCGGCGGGGTTAAACATGTTTATGAGATCTCAACCCTCCCCCTATACCTCTAGCCAATGTAGAAAAGTAAACGCATAACAATAGGCACATTAAAATTCATTAAATAGTTTTCTAAATTTACTGAAAACTGATCAAATATGTCAACCTTAAAATAAATGTAAACTATCATTTTTAGTTATTGGAGAAGGTACAATGTATTATGAGACCACTTTTGGGGCCCATTGATTTCCAAACGTATAACAATTCTACTTATTAACATCATTCAGGTGTTCATTAGACATCTATCTGTTGGACATCAGTATTTATATTTTTGAATTTTGTCTTACATGTTTGCACTATAAGTTTCAAACTTCTTACATTAAGTGCAAAATAGCAAAAACTCCCAAAATAGCCTCATTTTGAGATCTTGTCATAAATATTTAGATAAGAGCAACAGTCATACAGTTTTACCCAAAACAATTCTATTGCAAAAAAATGTATTTTACAAATCTGTTAATGTGTGTAAAATATGATTATCATTTGACCAAAACTGTGTGTGAAATATAATGGACATTTTGGGTCAAAAACATGTTTCAACATTTTTGTGATGACAAGTAACCTAACCATGCTAACTGAACTAAAGGGTCCAGATTATATAAACCAATTACTTTATAACTTTAAAAAAATCATTTTAAAGTCCTGAACAGTTTGAATAATTTTACCATTTTTGCAATTTCACCATCCAAACAATGGCATACAAACTGTACCTTCTCCTTTTAACTGTTTTTTTTTCAATATATATCATGGTGTTCTTTTTTTTTTCAAATATGTCAACATTAATTGCTTATCATGCTTATTCACATGTACATTGAATTAGACTCAAATGTAATGGATATAACAGCATTAAATAGAACTAAAAGATTAACATTTTGCAAATCATCTTATTTTATTTTTTATTGTCAAAATTGAAATCCTTTAATTGCAAATGCCCTATAAAGCAAAAAAAAATAAATTGCTTCGCCGAGCGCAGCTGGATACGACTGCAAAGGTCCAACCCTGAACAGTTGGGGCAAAAATGGACAAAAATGGACACAATATTCACGCTTGATACAGGTCTGAATTCGGATTGTAATTAAATATTTGACACATAATAGGTTTCTGACACAGAATAACTGTAGTCAAAGAACTTAGAATTGGTTATATGATTTGAATTTATATTCATTTATTTGCTTTTGTGCAATACACTATCATGACTATGCTGTTGCAAATTGCCTGCCCCCCCCCCCCCCCCAATTATTTTTTTCACCCCCCCCCCCCCCCCCCCCCCCCACACACACACTTTTTCCAAAAAAAATATTTCTTTCCCTCAAGATATGGTCATAATCTCAATTTAAATTTCTGATAGAGTTTGCAACCATAGTTACCCATTTAAATACATCATAAAAGTCTTAAAATAGAAAATGACATACAATCATGGCTAAAATTAATACTCCTTAATTAGCATTATTAAATAGTAACTTCTAAAAATAAATTGACAGCTAATCACCTCAAGACAATACAACATTTCTTTATACATAATTTAAAAGCAGTGTAAGGGAGGTAATCCAAACATAACATGGCATTTTTTTTAAACTGTCCATTAACCAGGAAACCCTTGTTTTCCCCCCTTTTTTGCCCCTAATTCCTAAACGGTTTGAGCCATAACCCCCAAAGCCAATCCTAACCATCCCTTTGTGGTATGGAAACTTCAGAGTTCCAGATAAGAATTCACAATTTGGGTTTTTACCCACCATTTATTATGTACATGTAATTGAGTGAAAGAGTTTTTTCAATTGCATTATTAATTCCAATTCACCCCTCAAGCAAATATCAAATTGGGTTTTTCACCACCAAGCTCCTTAATGTATTGGGTTTTGTCATCATCAAGATATTGAATTTAGGCATGTTATAATGAAATTATATCAAACCGAGATGTACTCGCCCTTGACGCATGCTTTTCTGTCTGGATGTGCTATGCATGAACCCGTGCGTCTGAGGAACGCTTCCTGATAACACTAGCTGAGTTGTGTTATCATAATTATCCCTCAGCTATCAAAAAGAAGCTGAACATGATTATGAAAACATGCTTCTATTCAATATTATTACTGGAAATTTATTTTCGTTTTAATTCATTCATTGACATAAATCCCGAGCAATATGAAAATAATTATGATCACTTACGCTAATTTGATAAACACAGAGAAGATCGAAATATGTTTACATCAGCACCTTTACCTTTTTGAGCAACGGGTAATTCCAACAGGTACCCAGATCAACTATTTGATGTAATGCTCAATTTTTAGAACAAAAGGAGATTTCCAATTATCAATATTACAAAAATAGATTTACCCAACGATAATATATAGAAAGAGGTAAATAACGCACACGAAAACGACTATAAGGGTTGAGAACGCATGGTTTTGACATTTATTGGGTTTTCCTTTGCATGAATTGGGTTTTTGAACGCTGCAACTGCAATCGTCAATTGCATTGGGTTTTCAATTGTTTTTATTGCGTGATCATGCGAATACGCAGCTTATCTGGAGCTCTGAAGCTTGTGGTATAATTTCAGAGAGATCCATACACCGTTCCACAAGTTATTGTCTGGAAACTAGAAAAATGCTTATTTGGGCCCCTAATTCCTAAACTGTTAGGACTATAACCCCCAAAATCAATCCCAACCTTCCTTTTGTGGTTATAAACCTTGTGTTTAAATTTCATAGGTTTCTATTTACATTTACAAGTTATTGTCCGGAAACCAAATGTCTTCAGACGACGCTGACATGATACCAATATACATGTACAACCGCAAAAAAAGCGGTCATATAAAAATGAAACCTCAATTTCATCAGCAATATTGCAATTAAACATGAGCATGAATTTACATCAAACATGTCATAGATGAGGATTCTATTGTTTTGTTATAAATCAGGACATTGGTTTTCTCTTGAAATTGAATTTTCAGATTTTGTCATGTCTGGGACTTTTATAACGGAATAGCATTTCTATAAACCATCTCTGACCAGGTCAATATTGAAAGTATATTCTGCCCCATATGAAAAATACTTACAAGTGATATGACTTGTAGTTAACTAAGAATAATGAATTTGATGAATAATAGCAATTTCCAGTGTGTAAATTATGTTGGTTATGTTTATAAATTAAATAGAAAAAACATAATTTCAGTACTACAAAGTTTCTAAGAGTAAAATGTGAATGCATTATGAAGATTAATTCACTTGGGAACGACTGGGAAGGAGGATTTTAAATGTGAACGTAATAGGTTGGTACGAACTGAAAGTGAATAAATGATAGTTTTTTAATTTTATTATGTTACAAATTTGTACATATAAAGTTGTTCATGGACAAAATGTCAATGTCCATAAAAAGAAAATTAGCAACAACTGTTATATTTATATCTTCTATTTTTGAGAGTCCACTCGGGTAGTTTTCACTTTCATTCTGGAAGGTTGCGCACATGCCCTGATTTTATATCTCAATCTAGTCAACCCGAGTTGGATGAATCGAAGTAGGCCCTAAACATGCAAGATTTTGTTTTAAAGTGTGAGATGGTTTCTATTGGATCCCTCCTGTATCATTAATCAAGATTTTTTTGAAACATGCGAGATGTTTGTGTGAATTTATATTTAGTTGTGTGTGGTGCCCATCTGACATTTTGACATATATCATCATTGACTGTTTCCTGAAAATATTTCTTATCAGCAAAATTTACACAACTTTTCATGTGCAAATACCTCGAATCGACTCCAACTTTAATATTAATTATTATTTATTTTATTATGGGACAGAAATCAAAGTGCCAGTTGGGCCAGATTGGTTTGGGGTTGGAACGACCTGATACCAATAATATTTACATTTTCTAATATTTTTGGGTGATCTAATCAGTATGCTGAACATAATTGCTCTTTTGTGAAATTCATCATAAAGAGACTTTAAACATGTGAAACTTTACTAACTTTTTCCAAACCAGATAGGCTTTTTAATTTTTCCATAATAGTCAGCTGTTTCTGGGTGACTGTCATCAACAGGCTCCAGAAAGTGCCAGTTGACAGATTTGTTGGAATCTGACATTAATTCTTTTAGAATTCTAAGACCCTGCTGAAGCTCATAACTGAGGGGTGCTTGATTGTAGGTGTGGTCATCCGTGCTCTGTTGGTCACATCCATCAGGCTCCGCCTCCAGGTCCGGTGTTTCTGCATCAGCTGTGGGTTCTGTCAAACTGTCACCAAAGCTCTCCGTGTCTTCGAACGTGAAATAAGACATAGATATTTCTTCTGCTTCATTTATGTTTTCTCTTGAATCGATAAACGACATATTTCTTTGAGTTGCTGTTAATGAAAAGTTTCAAAACTTTCTAATTGTAAGAATCTTCAAAAATGTTCTGTAAAATATCAAAACAATGCTAAATCATCAACTGACATGTTCGTTATACATTTTAAAATATTCTTAAGTCAAAATTCAACCATTGAACAACTCATTTCGATGACCTGGACCCTATCCGTCTTCAAAATCGTAGTGCATGAAACGTTCCAAGCTGTATTTTGGAATTATCACACCTGCATAATTTGACATGATTTCGGATACATTGATGCCAGCCGCATAACTTGATGACATCAAATGGAATTCTTACGCAGTTTCTGAATAAAAATCATTAAAAATTGAGAAAAAACATATATTAATTATAAATTAAATGTAAAACGTTTTTCTGTATGTATAAACAATATTTACGAATTTAATACAATATATAGTAAGCTGTAACGTGCTTTTAGACTAGGACTATATTGAAACACAAGTCTCGTATATGCAAATCAGATGTAAATCGTCACGAGATTTTACTGTTGATTTATTTCATACTTTTGTACAATTTAACCTTTGATGTGAAAATGATGCAAAAGATATTTTATGTTTTTATTTTAAATACTCAGATCGATTCATTTCTTAGTATTTTATCATAAAAGTTTCGCGTGTATTCAGCAGTCAAAATAACACGCAAACTTCCGGTTTGGTGACAGGTGTCTGAAAAACTAAAATGAATATAGAAATTCTTCCCAAAATTTTGTTATTTTTATGCCTTGCAGACTTTACAAGAGGCATGGACAATGATTTCACAGTAGATATTCCCGCAGGACATCAATCGTGTTTTTTTGAAACCATCAAGACGAGAAATATTGAGTTTGAAGTGGAATATCAGGTGAAATTTACACAGAAAAAAATCCCCCTTCCCAACATTTTAGCAAAATTATGTCAAACTCATCACGAATGGTTTGTATTTGTTGCAATAGTTCAGTGCTTTGATTTCGTAGCTTTAAAATGAGTGGTAACACTTGTATGTTTCTAAAGACATTGGTTCCTGATCTTAACTGAACATTTTTTTTTTACAAACAGGATATACATGGGGTCGTATCCATTCTGATATGATAGATCAGAAACTACTAATTTTCTTTATGTTCAACTTTTTGTATATTTTTATGCTCTCCTATCTACTAATTCAAAACATCAAAGGAAAGCAATAAACATGATAAAGGAGACAAAATATCGTCCCATAAAGAATAGATATAAAAATGAGGAGATGTGGTATGATTTCCAATGAGACAACTATCCACCATTTTTCAAAATAAGTGAATGTAAGCAATTATAGGCAACCGTACGGCCTTAAACAATGAGAAAAACCCATACAGTAAAGTTGGCTATAAAAGGCCCCGACATGAAAAATATGAAACAATTCAATTGACATGATTGAGAAAACTAGACTCTGTTTTATACTAGTCAAGACTGAGATAATCCATTCATTTTCACATTGCAAAGAATAATTTCATCACATGTCGCATAAACATGATAAGATTATTGCAACGAAAAATTATTAATAAATATATGTCCCTACAAGTGTTTGGATGTGGATCCGGAGGTCAGAGCTGTTTTGTAAATTTGCTGCTCACATATTTTAGCAGCCAGATCAGAACACAGATCTAAATCTAAATAGCAAACAATGCAGTCTTCACAGTAAACTTTTTGGACCTCAGGACCACACCCCATTTTTCAGAACTTTTTGTATAAATACTAAGGCCTGTAAGACTGATTTTCCCAGGCTTAGACACCAGGAAGTTTACAAGCCTCGGGCTTCAGACTACTGGTTTATCGTGAAGACTGATAATGGCAGTGATTGGTGAACATACAATGTAGTTATGGTTGTGAGATGGTTAACCAATCAAAAAATAATTTGTGAGGTTCCAGTTTTATGTATTCAGCTAAAATGTACATATACCTTTTACGTACTCAGCTTTATATAAGCTTTCAATGACTCAGCTTTTCTTTAAAATTCTAGCTTTCTCAGCCATTTTATAAATAAACACCACTCACATGGTTAAGTACGATGGGTCAAAATAATTACCATGATTACTTAATGTTCTTACTTTCTGAACTTGAAGAAAAAACAATTCAGGGTAACTGTAAACATGACTACCAATTTACTTTGCATTACTTACATGTAGCTTGGCATAATGATTCAGTCTTGGATATTTCAGGTTATTGATGGAGGCGACATGGATATAAACTTCTTCCTCCAGGCGCCAGATGGCAGAGTTTTGTTAACAGAATCTGGTAAATCTGATGCTGCTCACAAGTAAGATCACTGAATATGAACTAAAAAAGATATGTGGGGTAAAGTTTTGCACAAGGTCATGTTTTTCTCTGACTGTTAATGAAGTCTTTACACTAAATCCATAGGATGTTGGATGTGTACTGATTGATATTTTAGTCTTAGATACACGATCTTTTTTATATAAGTTGTTATTGGATTTGAACTAGCTGTTAGTAACTGTGAGTGCTCTAAGATCTGTACTTAGTGTCTTTTTTGTTGTTAGGCATGCTTTCATGTCGATCCGGCCCCACGTCGATCCGGCCCAACGTCGATCCGGCCAATATTTAAAGTTGATCCGGCCCAATTAAAAAAATATATTTATAAGGAATAAAAATAAAGATATATATTAATTGTAATTCATAAATGTTTATGATTTTTATTATAATGTAAAAGGTGTAAGGTAAAAAAAGTTTTCAAGATTATTGGGTATAATTATAATAAAAACGTATATAACAGAATTTAGTACAATCAACAGACATCAACATTAATCAGCAGTAATTAGCATTTTCTTTCAATTGACTGTGATCTTAACAAGTCTTTCATCCTGTGTAATAACAAATAGTTACATACACAACGGTACAAGCCGATCCCCAAGCTGATACATACAAACTTTGTTTTTGTTTTAAGTTCTTAAAACTTCTCAAATTGAGAAATGTTGTTTGATTTGCCGAATACTTTCTATAAAAGAGGAGACAGAATGCGTTTGCTTTTATCATAGGCAGTGAGATGTCCAGTTGAATAAAAAAAATGTACGACATTCCTGTGCCAGACCCAGAAGAAGACACTGACAGCGAGTGATTTAATTGACATTGAGTGAACTGTATGACTTGTATTATGTTAGTGCATATGTGGCTACAATCTATATGTTTATATAACATTTATTTATTGAATGCTTAATGAGTATTCTTTATGTTTAGAATAATATAGTGCGTTTGTTCTTGGCGAGCTAATCAAATTGAACAATTACAAGGCCGTAACTGGGCATATTTTTTGAGTGAGGCAGAACTATTCGCCGATCAGAACTGGGCGAAAAAAAAATTGAGGCGAGCGAAGCGAGGCGAAAAATTTTGACAGGGGTGCGATAAATGGTGCAAAATCCTGCATTCTGGGCATTTCCAGAGAGCTTGATATCGTTTTAATTTTGGACACTTTTTATATATTTTTCATATTTTAAGACATTTACTTACACCAAATTTTTAGGATTTGATTGAAGTGATTACGAGTGGCATTACCTTAGTTCACAATCATTAGACAATTGTTAAATAAACAAACTAATTATAGACTAATGATTTGATTAAACAAGTCATTATGATGAGTTAAATTTTATAGGTTCCATTGGACTGTAAATATTTATTTAGCTATTCTGTGTGTGAATTAGATAAAATAAAAATCGCCATGACATTCAAAGTTATCATGGAAAATAACTTCATATTAATATGTTGAAGCTGCTATATACAAACAGACACAATCACACTCATTTTCGTATCGATGTAAAATAATTTTTTGACTGGTACTTCAATACTTCACTTACCTGTTGTCATCCATCAACGATACTTTTTACAAATTCCATTTATACTGTTAAAATTTGTCACAAAATTCTCCAAAGTCAATATAGTTTATTCATATTTTATTATGGGGCCGGATCGACGTAGGGACGGATCGACGTGGGCCGGATCAACTTGGGCCGGATCGACTTGGGGCCGGATCGGTTTGGGGACGGAATGACCGGATACCTTAGGGATGAGGGATTGATAAATACCCTGCCACGTCTGGTCTGTGTTTATGTTTGATGTTTTTCTGCTTTGTATCAACCTTATGAGCTAAGCCTTTTTCAACTGATTTTTATAGTTTGTTCTTATGTTGTGCAGTTAAACCACTGTCCCAGGTAAGGGGGAGGGTTGAGCACTCACAAGCATGATTAACCTCACCACATTATGTGCCTGACCCAAGTCAGGAGCCTGCGGTTTAGTGGTTGTTGTTGGTTCTTGTCTGTCATTTTTGTTTTTCATAAATTGTTTTGTTATAAATTAGGCTGTTAGTTTCTCACTTGAATTGTTTCATATTTTTCATGTCAGGACCTTTTATAGCCGACTATACAGTATGGGTTTATCTCATTGTTGAAGGCCGTAGGGTTGCCTATAATTGCTTACATCCACTTCATTTGAACTTTGGTGGATAGTTGTCTCATTTGCAATCATACCTCCTTATTTTGATATTAAAGGTGTATGTCAATGAGACAAAAAACCAAAGACAAAATGACCTTAATAAGACGACTTAGTGGCCATCATATCAGTTCAAAGTTCAACTACATTGAAAAATGGTCAAAATAAGAAATAGTTTTGGCAAATTTTTTAGACTCTTATCTATTGTTAAGGACCATATGTCTGCCAGGGATATTCATGGTTATACTTTTGAATATAAGTGACGTATTTACTGGTGCAGGTAAATAATTTTTGAGGTAGAGTTATCTCCCTTTTTCATTTTTTTTTTTTTTTCTAAACTAATTTATTTAAAGGATGTATTTGACAAATTTAATGGAATCAGTCAAAAGGAGATAGCTCTTATTTACTTTATTGTGGCAAAATTGCAAACAAAATTCATAGTTTACTGAAAATAAATATAGTTGTCTTATTTCTTTTCTGTCTATACAATTCAAGTTGTCTTTACTATTCATAATTTTTTCTATGAAAGGCTGAAACTCTTAACTCAAAAGAATTTTTTTTTTTGTGTAATTCCGAAGACATTTTGATAAAAAAAGAGGCAGGGTCACCTTCCGTTCTCCCCCTGAAGATATCAAAATCGTGTATCAAAAATTTAATGAACGAAAAATTTCAGACACCATTTTTACTACATTATTTGGTTGTTTGCAATTGTTTACAAACATTTCCTAGTGTGGTTAAAAACTGAGACTTATTGAACGAATGGTTTACAATTGCTTTCTTGTATAACTGACATTACGCAACTCAAGTAGATTTTGACCCTAAGGCTAATTAAGAAGTGATAAAAGCTTGAATAAATAGTCAACAGGAGATAGGATATTAATTGCTTGATATGGCTTCTGTTTATGCTGTAAATACCAGCATTGATAGAAAATTGGAATGTTGTCAAATCATCAATCGGAAGGTTTTGAAGACAACAAAAAATTAGCAAACCTTCAACTCTATTTCACACTCCATTGAATGCTGACATTAAGAGGACCTTCAGCATACTTAGGAAGATTCAAACTGACAACAGGGACAACCTTGACTCAAAAGACAATTCACAGCCTCTTTGGTGTTAAGATGAACAACTACACAAACTATTAGATTTGATTTTTTTGATTTTTTGGTGTTTTAATGCCACTTTTAAGCACCGCTTTTGGGCTATTTCGTGGCGGCCAGTTTTTATTGGTGGAGGAAGCCGGAGTGCCCGGAGAAAACCACCGACCTTCGATAGGAAAACTGACAATCCTAGTCAATTAAGATTGGAGTCGAGTGCACCCGCACGAGCGGGGTTCGAACTCACAACCTCAGCGTTGACTGGCTTGTGATTACAGTAGTAACTACTTAGACCACTCGGCCACCGAGGCCCCTCAAACTATTAGAAATACAGAGCCAAGGGATATAAAGGCAGCCAAGTCAGTTTATACTTCTTACATGACCCTTGTCCTGAACATGCATGAAATATTTGCCACTGGATGTTAAGCAACCAACTATCAATCTTATATGACCCAGTGTTTCGAGACCTGTGTTTTAGTTATTAAATAACATTGTCAATGTAAATGTTATATAAACCGTGCTTTAACTAATATATTTTTACAGTGAAACAATGACAATGTTTAGTTTTCTAGCGAAATGACTTTATCAATGGTTAAAAACCATGCATAACTAAATATTGTTATTGTTCGTTAATTTTTCATCTATTTATCATGTTATAAATATGATAAATGTATAGCTTATTTCTTTCTTTTACATCCAGGCCAATGACATTGAATACAAATTAAAAAAAGATGGAGTCATGAATACAACACTATGCTTCAGTTTTTCTCTTTGTACTCGAAGGAAAGGTTAAATCAGTACTTTATTCACAAGGAGGCAACTATCAATGAAAAGCAAAACCAGCATCAGAATCTTCTCAATTATTCTTTCAATTCTAATCATTCAAATAGACATGCTGTTAGGGTACTGTAAATTCATTGATATATTGCATTCAGAAGGAAGATTGGTGAAAAAACACACAAAAAAGACAATTTTTACGTCAGAGGGTTACATTTTCGACAAAAAAACGTAGAAAATACTTGAATGTACATGTAATTGGTCCGTTACAATTTCTTTCCTTGGTTTACATTTCAATAAATCATTTGACAATAACTACTTTGGTTACGTTCACTGTGATATATTCATGTCCGAAACAAATTCAATTTATGAAATCCTGGGGTTATATCAAAGGTTAAATTTTTAAAAAATGACAATTTTTTAGTTTTTTAATTATAAGGATTAAACACATTTTTTAAAGAGGTTATTGATGTACAAATGTATAAACTGGACTTCAGACTCACAAACCTTACATAAAAGTACTTCAGACTTTTTTCAAGTTTGTGTCAACATGGTCAATGTGAGTTAATCAGTGCAATTTATGCACCAACAACCTTTATAGAAAGAAAAGAAAAAAGTCTGAAGCCCACCTCCGAGTGTGGGATTTTCTCTCTGTGTTGAAGACCCATTTGTCGCCTTGGGCTGTTTTCTGCTCTTTGGTCGGGTTGTTGTCTCTTTGACACATTCCCAGTTTCCATTCTCAACTTTATTAATCCTAAAGTGTAAACCGAGCACAACATATTTGGTATGCAAATAAGGAGATTGAGTATGATAGAAATGAGACAAATATCCACAAGAATCCAAAAGATGTGGACATAAGTAAACTACTGTAAAATCATCAATTGAAAAACTTTTAGGTGTTAGAATTTACTTTAATCATGTTAATTACTTATGTTCATCAATATCATCTAGACTTCATTTACTCTCTAAGATCAAGAAATTTCTAAATATTGATTCAAGAAAATTATTCTATAATGGTTATATTCTCCCACTGATAGATTATTGTTGTATTATTTGGAGTGTTTGTGCTAAGAATGAGCTAGTAAGAATAATAAAATTACAGAAAAGGGCTGCAAGACTAATAGTAGATGCTGATCCACTTTCATTATCAGCACCTCTGTTTAAACTGCTTGGGTGGATGACAGTAGAGAACAGAATCTCATACCATAAATCTGTTTTGATGCAGAAATGCCTTAAGAATGAAGCCCCTGTATATTTAACTGAAAAATTCAAAGAAGTGCCAGAAATAAACCAATATTGTACATGTTGTATGAGGAATATGTCTTGCAAAAAATTGAAAGTTCCAAAAGCCTAAACAGAGCTGTATAAGAAATCTTTTATATATTCAGGATCTATTTTATGGAATAACTTACCAATATCCCTGAAAAAATCAACCTCAAGTACAAGCTCATTCAAAAAAGATTTAAAAAATTACTTGTTGGAACATTAAGAACATGAAGAAGCTGTGTAATTTTATATGCATAATTATTTTCACACACTTACTTAAACTTTAAATATTGTTGGGGTAATTTGAATGATGCCAATGCTATATGAATTCATAATTCTTACCTGTTTTGAAAATTGTATATATTTTCATAACAATTTCTTATGATTTTCTTACAGTCAGGGGTACTACTTGTACAAGTAATTTTTATTTACTTGAAGAAGTAATTATAATATACTTATATAAGTAAATTTGTAGGATACTTATACAAGAGTATTTTATTTACTTGTATAAGTAAATTATTTTTTGGCCTAGTTATGTCCCTTAGGCATTCAGATTTTTTTACTTATACATTTTGTACAAGTAAAAAAGTCATCCTTATTCCTATCTTCTTTTCTTGAATTCTTAGAACTTCTTTGCTCTAACAGAATTTTGAATTGTCTGTCCTTTGCAGATGTCTTTACTATTCATTTAAGTGTAATTTCATTGACAATGAAAATCTCATTTGTCTTTTATCTTTAGAACACTGCTCATTTACAAGCCCCCAAGGAGCAATTTTTGAAGGCCTTGCGCAAATACTTAAGATCTTTGCTCAATCAGTTTCTTCGTTGAATTAATGAGATGAAACATTGAACTCTTATAAAAAATTATGAGCTAACCTGAGAAAAATTGTTAAAGGCATGATTTTACATCTCAAAACTTGAGAATTTTTGTGGGATTGTCAAAAAAATTTACTTATACAAGTAAATTTTTTTAGAAAATTAAGGGGAGATTATTCAAACAATATAATTAACTTGTATAAGTATATTTTATTTACTTCTTCAAGTAAATAAAAATTACTTGTACAAGTAGTACCCCTGACTGTCTTATGTGTGTGTTTTTTTGATTATTTTTGTAATTGTTTGTTTGTAATATTTTATTGCATTTCATGAGGGTCTCAGGGAAGATTAGTGTTATAGCTAATTGTGTAACCCTCTTTAAATAAAGAATTATTATTATTATTATTATTATTACTGTAAATTCAGAAATTATTGCAGGCATTTATTATTGCGATTGTTGAAGAATAGACAAAAATGCGAGACTAATTATTGCGATTTCACGAAAATCTGCATACTGTTGTATGTATCAGATATCTGAATGCGAGTTCCAATTATTGCAATACTCACCTTGTCGCATTATTAGCAATAATAAAAACCTTGCAATAATTTTTGAATTTACGGTATTAGATTTATTTTACAGGTTCACAGCTGATGTAGAAGGAGACTACCAGCTGTGCTTTGACAACACATTCAGTAGATTTTCCTCAAAGTTGGTTTTCTTTGAAATACTGTCAGATGAGAATGATGATGAAAATGCAACAAATTGGAAAAATGCCAAAGAAGAACTTGGATCTTTAATTGATATGACTGTAGAAGATTTTCAGGTATTTAAATGTCAGACTTTTTTTATTTAGAAGTGACAGTGTGTATTAATCACCAAAACAGTAACTTCACAATAAATGACAAACAAAAATGAACATCCACACATTGCCATAATTAAGTACACACACATACCCAGTAGCTTAAATTCTTGCATTTGGAGGTACTCTTACTGGAGGAGACTTATACACACTTTGAAGAGGCTAACTGGACAAAAACCCAATAAAATGCATCTGATTTTTAAAAATTTGACAGATTTGAAGTTAAACAGTGTTTCCTTATGAGTTTAACAGTTTCTTTTTTTTAAACTATGGTAAACATTGCAAATTTAAATCGTATAGAAAGAATAATGAAATTGAAATGCCATGGCAGATTCTTATTACAAATGTTGGAAGACATCACATGGAAAGAATAAACTTTAATGGCAGAAAAGCAGAATTTGTCAAGAGTGTGTGCATGACAAGCATAATTGGTCAAGAGTTTGTGCTCAACAAGCAGAATTGGTCAAGAATTTGTGCACAAACATTGATAATCCCCTTAGAGGCAGATTCTACCTGACACCATAAATCTCATTTATCTCCTTTCTATTTGTTTAATTTCCAATATATTTAACACTTTCAGCAAATTTAATGATTATGAATTGCAAAATCTATTGGTCTTGAAAAGATATGTATACAATTGTTGCAATTGCATAGAGATAGACAAATCAAGATGACAAACAGAAACTGAGGGATTGCATCAGCACCAAAAAGTATGTGACTAGGTGCTTTGACAGAGTAAGTCTACTGACTTGCATGCATCGTCCGCCATGCAAATTCGTGCTCAGCAAAAAAGTCACAATCAAGAACTGGACACAATTGGTAAAATTACAGATTAGATGACTGTACTAGTTAGTATCTGGAGATCTAAGATCAAGAAAAACATCTTGCTTTTGAGTTGAAACACCAATAAATTATCATAGGCATGAAGGCTGTATACCAGTCAGAGCTCTGACATAAACAAGTCAGAATAAAATGACTTCTTCAAGTCAGAAAGTGTTTTGAAATTCTGACCTGTACGCGTCAATTTTTGTTTTGCGTAGTTTTCACTCGAGTCCGTCAAACCAGAAGTTATTTTGAATTTGCCGCCGATCTACGACACATACGATCACGTGGTTTTTTGCAAGAGATCACGTGTTTGAGAGTCGTTGTTTTGGAAGTGTCTCGAACGAGAAGTCATTGAATATTATATTGATTATTTACGATTTTTAGTGAAAATCTAGGTCATTGTGGGCATTTTTAGAAAGGTAATTCATATTACCTCCGTATTTTCATGGGCATTTTTATATTTTTTGCCTATAAAGAAGTTCCTTGCAAGTGCTTTTTTTGCTGTTTCATGAAGGCGCGCGACCTGTAAATACGGACGCGTGGTCTTTTAGATGACCTGGTGTTTGACAATTCTGACTTGTTCAGGTCAGAAAATGTTGTTATGATAATGAATTGTTATTTTCGGGAGATAACTCGTGTTGTCTTAAACAATATTAACATTATTAACCAGTCAGTGCAATTTAAAAAGTAAAATTATTGCTTCGAGCTGAACATCGTCACGTGATTTTTCTATTTTTAAACTCAATCACGAACTGATTTTTAACCTTTCTGATTCGTTTCTCCCTATGAGAAAAACGATCATTGTGAATATTGATATGATGATAATGAAACGAAAATGGGAAAAATTTTAATAAAAGAAAAAGGAAGGGAGGGGTTTAACTAAAGAACCCAAGGGTTTTTTTTTTTATTTTTAAAGTTATAACTTGAGAACAATACACCTTATCGCTGTTCCCGCTTGACCCGAGAATCTGTCCCGCTCGAACTTTTGACGTCATACAACAATCACTTTTCCATTGTGGCGTCAGACATTTTCTATTATGACGTCAAAATTTTACGGGAACTTGTGTGATGTCCAATAATGGCGGACAAATAGCGATAAGGTGTATAAGTGATGCACACACCTGGTCTTCATTTATGATCATGGGACATGATAAAACAAATCAAATGAAATGTAGGGCAAGTCTCCAGGGATCACCCCTATCCCTGTCATTTCTCTATTCCTCTTTATAATGTCAAATTGATTTGAATGAAATATACAGGGCTAGTCTCCAGGTTTACCCCCACCCCCTGCCATTTGCAAATGTTCTTATATTTTGTAAACGGTAGAGATCCCCACCCCTAAACCATATATATTCTTGTATGGGACAATTTAACAAATCAAATGATATGTTGGGGAGGTCCCTGGGGGTCACCCCTACCCCTCCTGTTTGAAAACTTGTAAACGGTCGAGATCCCCACCCCTAAATCATATATTTTCTTGAATAGGACAATAAAACAAATCAAATGAAGTATAGGGAAGTCCCTTGGGGTCACCCCCACCCCCTCCTGTGTGAAAACTTGTAAACGGTCGGGATCCCCACCCCTTAACCATATATATTCTTGTAAGGGTCAATAAGACAAATCAAATGAAATAAAGGTGGAGTCCCTGAGGGTCACCACAACCCCTCATGTTTGAAAACTTGTAAACGGTCGAGATCCCCACCCCTACACCATATACATTCTTGCACAGGACAATAAAACAAATCAAATGAAATATAGGGGAAGTCCATTGGGGTCATCCCCATCCCCCTTTTTGAAATGTTCTGGATCACCACCCCTAAAGGTAAACCATATGATATTCCTGTTCGTCATTTCAAGAAGATTTGAATGACATGCGGGGTCAAACCCTAGGCGTCACTTATGCATATCACTTTACTAGACAAAACCAATTTGTACTGGAACTTGCCCAATGTCAGGCAACCATGGGAATGACGAATTTTTGGAGCTTAAATTTGTTTGGGAGACTTCGTAACAGCATCCTGTTACAATTATTTCTTGTTTATTTTAATCTGCTGAGAGACCACCTTTACATATTATATTTATCAGTGTTTGTGCAAACAGAATTGTCTATTCAGTATTATTTTCCTCTCACATGCATCACATCTTATTAATTACATGGATATAGGAAGATGTGGTATGAGTGCCAATGAGACAACTCTCCATCCAAGTTACAATTTATAAAAGTAAACCATTATAGGTCAAGGTACGGCCTTCAACACGGAGCATTGGCTCACACCGAACAGCAAGCTATAAAGGGCCTCAAAAAATTACTAGTGTAAAACCATTCAAACGGAAAAACCAACGGTCTAATCTATATGAAAAAAAAAAAATTTTGGCATATTTGTTTTCCTCTGAAATTACACATCTATAATTCTTACCCCAGATGCTTAGCCACATGAAGCATTTACCTCTTATTTGAGACATAGATAGTCTTTGTTTCTATAGAAGTGAGAAGAACATTGGAAGTCAGAATGTTCTGACTTATAAAAGTCTGAATGTTCTGACTTATAAAAGTCTGAATGTTCTGACTTATAAAAGTCTGAATGTTCTGACTTAATAAGGTCAGAAAGACTCAGAATGATCTGAAAATACTGACTTTTTTTAATGTTTAGAGTATTTTAGAATATGAATGCACTTGTCATGCTAGTACCATAAGAAACCCTGAAAAGATTTTGTTCCCAAACAACAATTTTTAAAGATATTAAGAATAACAAGTGTACAATGGAACATAAATTACAAAGTTATAAGTGTTGTGAAAAAAGCTATTTAAAAAAAAATCAATAGATAGTTATCTTTCAACTTTTACATGTATTTAAAAAACAGTGAAAATATTATGGATTATATGTACGGCTTCTTGAAGGACAACAAATTCACCATATTTGGTCTGAATTTGTATGTTTTTTCTCCTCAAATTTTTTTTAACATTATTAATGTCGGCTTTTTTCTTAACTAATTTTAAACATTCTTAATTATAATTAAATTTCCCCAACATTTTGCTTACAAACTCTTTAATTTCTAAAGTCAAATTGAAAGTTGTCTTCACAGATTCAATGTGTCTGAAAATGTTATATTGAAAAAACAATACTTTTATATCCTCAAATAAAATGGGTATACCATGAGTTTAATGGTCATGCAGATATGCAATCCAGGATGTTAACAATCAGAGTTTAGATTACAGTCATATAGTAATAGGCAGAGTTTTTCTTATATAATCAATAACCAGAGTAAAGATAATTGATTAATAGAGGTTTAGTTTAATATAAGTAATAAACAAAGCTAATTAATACACTTGCAATAACATACATGTAGTTAAATTAGTAAATACAGAATATTCATAAAAAATTCAGACAGAAATACTGTAATAGGTCAAGTCATTAGGGACGACATCAAAAGTTCAATATAGGATAAAAAACTTAATTCACATCACATAGTTTTTTCACTGACCCACCCACCCCCCCCCCCCCCCTCTTAACTTAATTTGGGAAAGATTGATTGACCAATATGGATTTATGTAAAATTGATTTTGGATAAACAAAACTTGCAGCAACTTTAACCCCACCCCCACCCCCAAACTATTTGATTTAAGTTTTGTTATCCTACATTGGTCTTTTGATGGCGTCCCTTAGAATGTGCTGACTTTGTACATGTTGTAGTGATAGTTATGGCACCCATACAACATATAGGAATCAGTCAAAAGGAGAGAAAAATTCCCGAAATTTGTCACATAGTGACATTTGTGAGTCGGAATAACAAAATATAGACTCATTAATCTCTCCATCTTTTCAAAAATTATGAACCAGATTTTATGCATATCCATTTAGTTTTTGACGGACTCTTTTAAGTCAGAACATGATTTGACCTGTTTGAGTCAATTTGCAGAACAAAATTTCCAATCAAAGCTATGTTTTCTTTTTTAGCCCCCTTCTGAATCTGCCACTGTTGAGTTTATTAATTGATTTTTCCATACATTATCATTAATATCAAATGGCAATGCCTGACTTAATAATTTCAATAAATTTAGTTTTTGACTGATTTTTTAAAGTCAGAACATGACTTGACCTGTTTAAGTCAATTTGCAGAACAAAATTTCCAATCAAAGCTAGGTGTACTTCCTTTAAGCCCTGCAATGCCCGGCTTAAATATTTCAATAAATTTATTTTAGTTTTGGACTGACTCTTTTAAGTCAGAACATGATTTGACCTGTTTAAAACAAAATACATTTAATATTGAATATACCAAATAAACTTTTTTATTGTCCTCATTATTGTGACTTATGGGGACTTTATTCTCTCTGTCTTTTATCTGGCTCACCCATACATTTTTAAATCAATATGACAATACTATACTTAAAAGTTGTAATAAGTTTAGTTTTGTTTGACTCTTTGAAGTCAGAACATGATTTGACCTGTTAAAGTCAGTTTACAGAACAAAATTTCCAATCAAAGCTAGGTGTTCTTCCTCTAAGCCCCCCCCCCCCTAAATATGAATCTGCTACAGTTGAGTTAATTAATTGATAAGTTTTTTTAGAAACAATTCAGCCAAATGGTTATTAAAATTTTATTTTTTTGGCAACCACAAGTTCTATGTGTAAACTTAACAGAAAAGAAAAGTCATGAAAATACAGAAATAAAATAAAATTTTAAGATAATTTGATGAAAATCTTTAAAAACAAAATGCATTTGATATTGAATATACCAAATAAACTTTTTTATAGTCCTCATTATTGTGACGTAAGGGGACCTTATTTCATCTGGCTTTCCCATACATTTTAAAATCAATATGAAAATCCTAGACTTAAAAGTTGAAATAAGTTTAGTTTTGTTTGACTCTTTGAAGTCAGAACATGATTTGACCTGTTAAAGTCAGTTTACAAAACAAAATTTCCAATCAAAACTAGGTCTTCTTCCTCTAAGCCCCTCCCCCCCCCCCCCCTTTTTCCCTTTATCTGAATCTGCTACTGTTTAGTTAATTAATAATGTTAATTGATAAGTTTTTTTAGAAACAATTCAGTCAAATGGTCTTTAAAATAATATTTTTTACAACCAAAAGTTCCATATGTTAACTTAACAGAAAAAAAAGTCATAAAAATGCAGAAATAGAATAAAATTTTAAGATAATTTGATGAAATTTGTAAACAAAATACATCTGAATATTAAATATACCAAATAAACTTTTTTACAGTCCTCATTATTGTGACTTTATTATTGGGTGTCTTTTATCTGATTTTCCCATACATTCTTAAATGCATATGACAATTCCAGACTTAAAAGTTGCAATAATTAGTAAAAGTATAGTTTTTGACTGACTCTTTGAAGTCAGAACATAATGTGACTTGTTCAAGTCAGTTTGCACAACAGGATTTACCTCAATGAAATATTAAGATATCAAATATATACCAAATTAACTTTAATATAGTTCTAAAAATTGTGACTTAATATTTGTGATCTTTTTTCCTACTTGTATCCATACATTCTAACAATCACATCACAATCATGACAATGCCCGACTGTTACAGTTGCAATCCATTTAGTGTTTGACAGACTCTTATAAGTCAGAACATGATTTGACCTGCTTGAGTCAGTTTACAGAACACAATTTCCAATCAAAGCTATGTGTTCTTCCTCTTAGTCCCCTTCTGAATCTGCCACTGTTGAGTTTATTAATTGATAAGTTTTAAGAAACAATTAAGTCAAATGGTTATTTATCTTAGAGGATCTTGCATGTATTTCGTGTGTATTTTATCTGACTTTTCCATACATATCATTAATATCATATGGCAATGCCTGACTTAAAAATTTCAATAAATTTAGTTTTTGACTGATATTTTTAAGTCAGAACATGATTTGACCTGTTTAAGTCAATTTGTCAGAACATAATTTGACCTGTTCAAGTCAGTTTACAGAACAAAATTTCCAATTAAAGCTAGGTGTACTTCCTTTAAGCCCTGCTTCTGAATCTGCCATTTTGAGTTTATTATTTGATAAATTTTTAGAAACAATTAAGTCAAATAGTTATTTATTTTAGGGGATCTTACATATATTTCCTATGTCTTTTATCTGACGTTCTCATACATTCATTAATATCATATGGAAGTGTCCAACTTTAAAATTTCAATAAACTTAGTTTTGGACTGACTGTTTTAAGTCAGAACATGATTTGACCTGTTTAAAACAAAATACATTTAATATTGAATATACCAAATAAACTTTTTTATAGTCCTCATTATTGTGACTTTAGGGGACCATATTTCCTCTGTCTTTTATCTGGCTTTCCCATACATTTTTAAATCAATACGACAATACTAGACTTAAAAGTTGTATTAATAAGTTTAGTTTTGACTGACTCTTTGAAAGCAGAACATGATTTGACCTGTTAAAGTCAGTTTACAGAACAAAATTTCCAATCAAAGCTAGGTATTCTTCCTCTAAGCCCCCCCCTAAATATGAATCTGCTACTGTTGAGTTAATTAATTGATAAGTTATTTTAGAAACAATTCAGCCAAATGGTTATTAAAATTTTATTTTTTTTGGCAACCACAAGTTCTATGTGTAAACTTAACAGAAAAGAAAAGTCATGAAAATACAGAAATAAAATAAAATTTTAAGATAATTTGATGAAAATCTTTAAAAACAAAATGCATTTGATATTGAATATACCAAATAAACTATTTTATAGTCCTCATTATTGTGACGTAAGGGGACCTTATTTCATCTGGCTTTCCCATACATTTTAAAATCAATATGAAAATCCTAGACTTAAAAGTTGAAATAAGTTTAGTTTTGTTTGACTCTTTGAAGTCAGAACATGATTTGACCTGTTAAAGTCAGTTTACAAAACAAAATTTCCAATCAAAACTAGGTCTTCTTCCTCTAAGCCCCTCCCCCCCCCCCCCTTTTTCCCTTTATCTGAATCTGCTACTGTTTAGTTAATTAATCATGTTAATTGATAAGTTTTTTTAGAAACAATTCAGTCAAATGGTCTTGAAAATAATATTTTTTACAACCAAAAGTTCCATGTGTTAACTTAACAGAAAAGAAAAAGTCATGAAAATACAGAAATAGAATAAAATTTTAAGATAATTTGATGAAACTTGTAAACAAAATACATTTGAATATTACATATACCAAACAAACTTTTTTATAGTCCTCATTATTGTGACTTTATTATTGGGTGTCTTTTATCTGTTTTTCCCATACATTCTTAAATGCATATGACAATGCCGGACTTAGAAGTTGCAATAATTAGTTAAAGTATAGTTTTTGACTGACTCTTTGAAGTCAGAACATAATTTGACCTGTTTAAAACAAAATACATTTAAATATTGAATATACCAAATAAACTTTTTTATATAATCCTCATTATTGTGACTTTAGGGGACCTTATTTCCTCTGTTTTTTATCTGGCTCTCCCATACATTTTTAAATCAATATGACAATACTAGACTTAAAAGTTGTAATAAGTTTAGTTTTGACAGACTCTTTGAGGTCAGAACATGATTTGAACTGTTAAAGTCAGTTTACAGAACAAAATTTCCAATCAAAGCTAGGTGTACTTCCTTTAATCCAAGAAAGTCCTTGCTTTCAGACTGCTTCTGAATCTGCCATTTTCGAGTTTATTATTTGATAAATTTTTAGAAACAATTAAGTCAAATGGTTATTTATTTTAGGGGATCTTAACATATATTTCCTGTGTCTTTTATCTGACGTTCCCATACATTCATTTAATATCATATGGCAATGCCCGGCTTAAATATTTCAATAAATTTATTTTAGTTTTGGACTGACTCTTTTAAGTCAGAACATGATTTGACCTGTTTAAAACAAAATACATTTAATATTGAATATACCAAATAAACTTTTTTATAGTCCTCATTATTGTGACTTATGGGGACCTAATTTCCTCAGTCTTTTATCTGGCTTACCTATACATTTTTAAATCAATATGACAATACTAGACTTAAAAGTTGTAATACGTTTAGTAAGTCAGAACATAATGTGACTTGTTTGAGTCAGTTTGCACAACAGTATTTACCTCAATGAAATATTAAAATAATAAATGTTTTGCTCTTAATACATTTAGCTTAAAGTGGATGAGAATATATCTTTTATTAACATAGTCTTATCATGAATAAGTGTCTTGTTTTTCCTTGGAAGATTTGAAGTATTGTCATGTAATGTATCCAATATTGTATTTTGTAAATCTTTTGATATTCAGAAAATTGTATGATCCATTTTTTCTCACCTGGTTTTTCTTTGTATTTTGAAATAATTGAAAGTGATGAGATAAATATATTATGTTTAGATTCTGGAAAGGAGAAGGTATGATGTCAGATGAGCCCCACTTTTTAAAACTCTTTAATTCGAAACTAGTAATCACCATATTTTTATGGAGATTGATAACAAAGTGGTAGTAACGACTGCTTCAAATCAGAACAAAAATGACCTCTCGAAGTCAAAATGCATTAAAAAGGGGCATAAATCTTATTAGAATATGAAGATATTAAGTCACAATATTTTGTGCAAAATCTGACCTGTGGAAGTCATTTTATGATAAATTAAAGTCTGACATAAACTGACCTGTACAAGTCATATTCTGTTGAGTGCAAGAAGGGAGACAACACTTACATCAAATTATATCTGACCTATGGAAGTCATTTTATTCTGACTTGTTTATGTCAGAGCTCTGACTGTATACAGAAAAAATATACTAATTCTAACTACACACCATGATTTACAGATATCACAATTTACCTCATCTTTTTCAGAAACTGATAGACAACGTACAATCCAATTTGGACCAGACAGAACTAGCACAGACAATGTTACGAAACTTTGAAGCCAGAGACAGAAATGCCCAGGAAAATAGTTTTAACCGTGTAAATTTTCTATCTGCAGTACAAGCCTTTGTCATGGTTTCCGTGGGTTTAACACAGGTTTTACTCATAAGAAGTTTATTTGAAGACAGAAGTAGATTATCCAAAGTTATGAGAGTTAAAACATAGCTACGATAGGTCATTAATTAGGTTATTTAAAAAATTTTCTATGTTTAAAGGTTGAAGTATTTTTTTCTAATTCATTAACATTTTTTTAGTACTTGATGATTGTTACTGAACTGTTACCCAATTTCATACAAGTGGTCAATACTAAACATGTTAATACATGACTTTTATTATCTTGTGTGGTCATCGAACTCAAGAATACAAAGGTGGGACTCCAAAATGTAAAAGTAAAGCTGTTACACTTGTCGGAAAAGTTTTGATTTAAAAACCAAGGATTAAAAAAAGAAACATATATAAACTTAACATTTATGATTTATGCAAGAAAATTGGTAACAAGATTTTCTAACTTTTACTATGAAGATGGTTTTTTATTGAGTATTATTTCTTTGTGATATGAAAGAGTTTGTTTTGTTTTATTAATGTTTAGAAATAGGGATATAACTTCCTTCCTTTAACATTGACAAGATTGTAGAGTGTGATTGGCAAGAGGGATAATTGTTTTACTGGTTGAAGTTGAGGGGCTTTGTTCCTATTGATTTAATTAAGACAACGTATATGGAAAATGTTAGCTTATAATTAACTGATCAGATTGAAAGTATTTTTGACAATATGTCAGATTTTGAATGTAAAACTATGGAAACTACTTACTCTACTCAAAAGACCAGACATGCACATCTTTTATCCAAAATCTTCTACATTCTGAATTTATCCTGGTGTTTTTACATGTAATGTGCGCATGATTGAACTATAACCATGGGGATGCATATTGTGACTCAAAATTTGTATTTGTATTTTTTTATTTATGGATATTGCTTTCTATGGTGTTATGACAATTTCTTGTTTTTGGGGATTCTTTGTTTGAATGTTTTTGTCAATGTAACTTTATTGTCTATTGTTTTTGTGCAGAATTTGCTTGATAAATGATCAATGGAATATATATGCAAATATTGATGTTTATTTTATCATAATTTTGACTCAACACTATTGTCAGGGCTAAGCTATTGCATGGTGTACAATCAATGTTTGAATTCGCTTTTGTTCCATTGCAATATAATAAAACATACTGTGATGGTATCTGTCCTTTTCCTCTCACAAAGGCAGCTGTAATGATTTCTTAGGAATCTTAATAAATTTCAGATGGATTCACACAAAGAATTTTCGTTTTTATTGATCAATAAGAAATTTTTTCTTTAAATAACATGGTAAATTTTTTTATAGAAAATAAGACAAAATTGAGATGATTTTCCTGTGTGCAGGTACACATATATATGTAGATAATGATTTTTTTTTATGTAAAACTCAAATACACTTTCAGTTTATTATTTGGAAATTCTTCTTATAATTCAAGTATGTTTTTCATTCAGTTTAACACCATTTCTTCCCATTGATCTCAATATAAAAAATCCAGAGACTTTTTTTATCCTCTGAAAGTTCTTAATTCTTCAAATCAAGCACTCAGAATTATATTTATATTTTCATACGTTCTATGTTTAATACATTTTCTATTGAAATATTTATTAAAATGTTTGAATTTTATCAGCAAGCATCCTATCTGATTTTAGTTCCAAAGTCGTGTGCTTTTGTCATGGATTACATGTATATTCAAGGTAATAGAGTCGTCAACTCTCTTTTTCTTGAAACCAACAGGGCAGTGATAAAATTTTGAGTCAACCAAATTTACAAGGTATAGAAATATTTGCAATAGAATTATCATAGGTATCAGCCTGTTTTAAACATTAAACAGCAATCAGTTTTATTATGTCTCTTATAAAATCTAATGTAAAATGGAGAATTTGCAGGAATACTAATGAACAAAAAAATCAGTATGATTAAAAAAAAATGTCCCATATATGAATAATGTGTGAAATGTATATTTTGATTTTAGTTTTTTGTAATGTAACTTTTATATATATTGTGCGAACATTTTCTTCTGATTCTATAGAACAAAGTTTGAGTGTCATATTTTCATGAGCAGTTCGATCATTCTTGTTTGAACAAATTCTGTTTTACCTAGGTTTTTTTTGGGTATATTTATGTATAAAAACAGCAGTAAGAGAGAATTTTTCCAATTTTTTTTTTCTCAGATGTTTTTACCTTTTAGTACTGTTCACCATTTTGGTTTTCAGAAAAGAGACATTGATAATTAAAAACACTATATATGCAATTATTGTATTTCTTTAATGTTAAAAGTACATGAAGTGGAAAAGGTTTAAAAGATAAAAAATTCTATACAACAGAAAGTAAACCAAGCTTTGACAAATCCTTGTAAACCAAGAATGAACACATGACAATTGAACCAATGATATACAGTGCTAATAATGTTTATTTATATTCGAGGTCAAAAATGTACCAGTATTTAAATTTAAAAGACCAAAAACATGTGATACAGTTATGTTTTTAATTGTCAGGATTATTTTGAAAAAAAGTTATGGTTATTGTTAAAGTGTGAATCTATTGGTATGTTATTGTTGTGATTTCAATACATAAATTTTTTTCTTGCTTGGGCAAAATTCCTGATTAACAATAAGTTGGCACCTCACATTGACACTGCTGCATTCTACAAACCATTCACACATTTTACATGGTTGCAAAAATTAACCCATGCATGAAAATTTCCATGTTTATGGTATTTCGAATATCATATATGAAAAGTCATAGATGATTTTTTAGCAAGTTAGGTGTCATATTATAGTAGATTTCAAATTTCTTGTTTTCAATTACTTTGTATAGAAGCATAAGTTTTGAAACAGAATATTTTTAAATGTGATAATTTTTTTATTTTTCATTTTAATACTGAAGAAAAAATGTATTAATGATTGTTTATGAATTACTTGGTAACTTTTAAAAATGAAAACGGGTAGTAAAATGTAGTTTCTTATAATCAAAAATCCCTTTACTGTAAATTCAGAAATTATTGCGAGGTTTTTATTAATTCAAATAATGCAACTCCTTGAGCATGTTGAGTAATGCAATGATTAGAACTCTCTTTCTGGTATCTGATACTTATATCTGTATGTAGATTTTCTGAAAATCGCAATAATGAAAATAACATTTTTGTTCATTCTTCAAAAATTGCAATAATAAATGCACACAAAAATATTTGAATATACAGTATTTTGTTCTGGAAAAAAAACAAAAAATTAAAAATTTGAAATGTGCATACCAAAATTACTATTTCATGCATACAGAATAACTTTGAACAAATTTTATTTTTCTGAAATCTCATAATTCAACTGACAACAAATAGATAAAGTCAACTTATGCTTTTTTTTTAGTGAACCAGTTTGAACAAACCTGCATGGGACCTTTGTGTTAAAAACATGTATTAAGCCTACAAATGATAAATTACTGAAAATACTCACAGTATGTCTGTATACAAGTGGTATGCTTACAGTCGAAATGCAATATTCCATTAAAGCAGGTTTTTACTTTGTTTTAACAAGTTAATGCAAGGACTTAACATTACTCATATCAATATGACTTATACCTGTTCTTTACATACCTTGGCCTGGCAAACTGTCTCACACTCCTAATTGAAAATATTGATTCCGGAAGAAGAACCAGTTATATATTTCCAATTTTAGATATTCAGCATGTTTTAAGTTTTTTTTTTTAAATTTGACTGTCAAAAGGGGAGAATGTCATATCTCTAAAAAAGGACATTGGTAGAATGTTTTTCTTATACCTTAAGAAGAAAAATAGGCATATTTAAAAATTGTTTTTTGTGACTGCAAAACATTTTGGTTTTGTTTGTATACATCATCAGGCAAAGTTTTTCATTTAGATTTTAATCAGTGAAAAGCTTAAACTGCATCTTCATATGGCTTTTGAAAAATAAATAAACTTTTGAGAAAGATAAAGATATGACTGCTGTAATGATAGCCAACAAAAGGGTGTGAAATAGATTAAAAAGTTTTGAAATATATTTCAAATTTACCGAAATATGCAATATATATAAATAAAAAGTTCATATTTTAAATGTTCTTTTGAAAAAACCTATCTCCAGGTTTTTAAAATTGGTTTAATTGATATTGGTGAAAAAGTTTTCTTATATAAGATATTTTTGAATGAATAACTGATTTATTATTTTTTTTTTTATAATTGCTTTACGTTTTAGGTGCTTATTGATAGAGAAATCCAGACCCATCAATATATTTACTATGCAAAAGTGAAATGTAATGTACAAAATTATTCTCACATGTTGTTTGTTCTAGTCGTATTGTACGAAATGTTAACTAGCGCGTTTGATTTGTACAAAAATATGTCGAAAAATTGCATCATAATGCAAATTTTTCTTTTTTGTGCTGTTGATATAACTGAATGAAACTATGAAAGTTGGTTTTATTATATTATTTTTTTACCCTTGAGACCTGGGTGTCAGACCTATATTATTTTTTTCAATTTTGTGCATAATCATCCATATTATGTTTGAATAAGAAATGTATTTATATATATATATATATTTATCATATAATTAGTAGTAAATACAGTAGTTTTGAATATTTGATAAATAGCCTTCTGTTCAATCCATATCGCTCAACTTTGATGCGCAAACCTTTATTACACCCCTTTATGGCATGTCTACCCTTTATCACACCCCTACTCGGATTTCTCATCTATGTAGTGATTCCGACTAAATTCACATGAAGTCCATGTTTCAATTTATGCAAGCTTCTCATCCTTTCTGTATCTCTTTCAAATAAAATACCGAAGATTAAATAGTAAAATATTTTTCTTCAATGGGTCCCAAATGAAACAATCATTAGAGCGTGACGTCATTGTTTGGCATGTGACGTCACAGACATTGAGCTTTCATATTTTCTGGCACACGAAATGCAACCATAAAAAACTACCAACAGCGAGATAGTTAAACTTTAAATTTTGATATTTCAAAAGGGCACATTTTACTCACCAGACAGTCAAAGTAGTCTCTTGTTTATATATATTACAGTATACTTGTTATTAAATTGTTGGTTTATTGTTACTATTTTTTTTATTAGTAGGTTTTATTCAGAATGAACATTACTAAAGGAGGATTAAAAGTAATCAATGAAATACCATACAAAACACAAACAAACAAGGAAAAAATACTATAAACAAAATATTTCTATAGACAACAGGATGCAAATTGTTAGGTAACCCTGGTGCTTCGGATGAATAATTAAGCAGTTCCTATATTTGATAAAACTTTTAAACAAGGCAAAAATAAATCTGAAGGTAACCCAGGTGCTTTGGATCAGTAAGCAGTTCCTATATACTTTCCTGTTTAAATATATGATAACGTGTATAATACATGACAATAAAGGCCCTTGGGCTGATATTGGTATCTCAGGATGATATAGCATGTGATACGGATTTTGCCATGTATTATTCTATATATATATATATATATAGAGTGTTGTTTGTGCTGTATTTAGACCCCTCTACCAAGAAATTTGTTTTGCATGCACACATATAAAACTTACGGTTTTTATCCAACGCAAATATATATATATATATTCATAAAATAAATAGTAAAGTAAGTAAACAAGTTAACAGTTCCAGTTCAATCGATTTCATCCTTCCATTTGGACTCTTTAGGATAACTGATTTAGCGTCGTTATGACCGATGTCGTTAAGGAGGCTTGTTCATAATTAAAAAAGATCTCGGAAGAAATCTTGATCGGAACGTTGTTATGAAATAACATTCCATCTCCTTTCGATAGGCTTCATCCCGTCTACATTTAAAAATAGGCATTATTTGAAATTGTTTTTTACCACAAGTGTCAAGGTGGGCACTTATTGGCGAGTTTCTGTATTGTGGGTGTTTTATTTGTTCTTTATGAACGCGCACCCGTTCACAGAGGCTATTCCCGGTCTGTCTAATATAATGTTCGTGACAACCTGGACACATGACACAGTAAATAAGTTTTGTTGTCTTACAAGTCATATATGCGTTCACATGAAATTTTCTTCCATAATTTTCTCCTTAACGACGCTAAATCAGTTATCCTGAAGAGTCCCAATGGAAGGATGAAATGGATTGAACTAGAGCTGTTAACTTGTTTACTTATTTTACTATTTATTTTATGAATATATATTTCTGCACATGTGAAAATTATTTTATATATATATATATATACATACATGTGTGTGTGAATAGAACTAACCCAACTGTAAAGTATTGGTATTTTGAAATTAACAAAATTATTTACACAGATAAAGATTTCTCATTGTTTTACTCATTCCTGAAATATTTTTTTAGAAAGTGATCTTTTTTTTTAAACGCAGTATGATGTTGTGTATAATCTTAAAAAAAAAAACGTTCATAAATAAGAAAATCTTAAAAACGTTTGTTGTACTATTATTAATTATAAAATTGTGTTAACTTATGAATCTGTAAATTGCCAAAATTAAAAACCCATCAAGAGAAATGATTTCAAACAGAATTTTCAATGAAAGAAAAACATATCATATTCTTTTGAATCTGTTAAGTGCCAAAATTAGAAACTTTCAATCAAGAGTAATGATTTCAAACGGAATTTTCAATGAAGGAAATATATATTATATTAAAGATTTTTTTTACTTTTATGAACATATTTCTCGGCATATCAAGTTATTTTAAATGTTTTTAACATACATTTTTGTAGCAAGGCATCAATGAAATTGTAATTATTTGAAATATAAAAGCAAAGTTGAATCTTGAATGATCTCAGATCAAGGGAAGTTAATTACGTGATAGTTGGAAGAAAAATATTTTTAATTGAGATTTGAGAGAATGTGTCATGTGTTATGCTCCAATTTATAATAAGTGAGTGAGTGAAGATTATTAACCCATGTTATTCATTTAAAATCATTCAATACACACACATTGTTAATTCTTACAAAATTAGTTTTGTTATGTTTTGTCCCAGTTATTGATTGATGAATGCACTTTGCTAATACAATAAAATATTTATTTTGTAAATTGTTCTTTTATCATAACTGATTCCAGTGTTGTTTATGACAGTAAAGTTTGTGAGTTTTTTTGTTGTTGTAAAACTTCATACGAAACTGAGGAAAAAGAATGATGACCGCAGGGACATGCATATAGCTGTGCTGTAATACTAGTCGAGGTTGGAGAGACAGGCACATAATTGAGAGGACAATAAGTAATGCCTGGTTTGACAAAACCCTTTTTCAAATTTTGGGTCCTCAATGATCTTCAAGTTCATACTTTATTTTGGCCTTTTCCAAAAAAAAAATTTAATCGAGCAGCAACTATGAGTCTTTGTAGCTGAAACACCTGACTGGCTTTCAAAGTTTAAATCCTGTATCTATGATTAGTTTTTATAGCAGAAAACGCTTCTCCAGTCAAAGTACTCCATCTCACACCTTTTGGATGCGATTCCATCAGCTTTTGTTTCCCACCTTGATTTGTATCGCCTTTATGGATTTTTTAAAATTTTAACTTCAGTAAACTACTATTGCCTCTCAATTAAAATAACCATGGGGTAATTCCTTGTGCCAATGGTTGTTAAATTGAGTTATTCTATATGTGCAGTTTGATGTTTGAGATGAAAAGTAAGGGGCATATTTATTTACACGTAGTTGTCTGTCCTTTCTTCTGTCTATCGGTCTACATATTGGGTGTATGATTTATATGTCGAAATACTGTACTAAAAATGTGCATTTTGACAGATTTTCCTGAAAAAAAACTGTCTGTGAAATATTTTTCTTGCAATGATAGTTGAACTAAAATCCTTCAAACATAACCAAACATTTTAATATTGGTCTCTTTTTCTTCAAATCTCACAACATCGCCATAATCTTTTCTTGTATACAGAAGACATGGAATTATCAATTGGTCAACTTTTAACAGTCTATGATCAAACCAGTGATATCGCATCAAAGTGATTCTTGGAATTTATTGATGTCCATTTATATATGCATATATATATATATATATATATATATATATATATATTTACCGTTCATTTGAATGCATTATCCAATATTTATGCATACACACACAATGCAATTTTGTTATTTTCTTTGTACAATATTCACACGCACCTAAACAAAAAAGAGGAGATCCAACTAGTTGTGAAAAATAAATGCAGAGACTTCATTTAAAGAAAAGCACTTCTATAAAAAAAAAGTCTTTTCCACGTAGTAATTATAACATCGTCTTAGATGGGATGTATAAGAGAATCAGAAGATACTCTCTTTTAGATGGGACGTATTATTGTATACCGTATGCCGTTTATCTGTCTTTTCATCTGTCTATCCTTATGTCAATATGTCGTAAGATAACTAAAAGTTGTATAACCCAATTCGCATGAAATATTTATACAACATTAGGATGGAAGGGTTTGGGAAATAATTGGTTGTCTTGTTCGAGATTTACGAGACCTTAACTGTCAGATTTAAGGCAACTTTTCACATATTTAAACAATATAACAGAACTTTGATTGATAAGTAGCCACTGTCAATTTGTGATTTAACAGTATGGTGGCAAGTTTTCAAACACGATACTGTTATTCCTATTCTAATTCGATATTAGTAAATTGCTCAAAATAAAGTTTAAACTTGGCGAAACATTTACGTTGTTGACCGTGGTTCAGATCGTCAACCTTGGAACTGTCAGCATGCGACTTCTATTAAAAAAAGGCGTTAGATATCCTGTTCTATTTGAAATTTTATAATAAACAAGGATCACTAGAACTAGAGCTGCCCTGCAGATAATTGAAGTCATATAATAACGTTCTATCAAAATTCTTCACCGCACAGTCGCCTCGTGATATGTGGGAGCATAATTTTCATGTAGGTGTTTATGAACCAAAGACGTCCTAAGCCTCTGTTAATATGTAGGTTTATTATACTGGAGTGAAATATACCGGTTAATCCTGCAATTTGATTGGCGACCTTTACAGGTTATATTAGCCCATATACCATGTGAATAAAATGTTCAAATGAGGAAGCTCCGGTATAAAATAATTGTTATTCGGGCTTTACAGGGGATATGGGCTATAACTACTGTCAGAGTCCTATATCCTCTTCAACTTGCGACTCAGGAGATATAAAACACTGACAGGGAATATGAGCCCATATGGCCTGTAAAGATTCCGAATTGCATGTAATGTATGAACCAGAGACGTCCTAAGCCTATGTTAATACTATGTGAATTTTGTAGATTAACTAAAGTGTCAATTAATCTAGAAACGTTTCGTTGTACAATCATGCTGTTGACCCAAAATTAGCACAAGGATTTCCTAGGAGCGGCGAGTCTTGAATATAATGTGTTTGAATAAAATCAGACTTAAACTTTGCGACTTCGTAGAATGTATTCTCCGGATTTTGAAAAGTGTCACAAATTTGCCATGCTAGAAATAAAGTTCTAACGGTTAATAAAATCCTCATAATATTTGTACCTTAATGTTTTTTCTTCATTTTTGGGCAGTTTTGTATCCACAAAATACAAATACACGACATGGATAATTAGCAGGTACTTATAATCATATATTCCAATATGTTATGCATATTTATACTAGAAATATCAATTGTTGTTACTCTTTTGAAATCTAGCAACCCAACAGCTTATTCCAAATACATCTGTATTTTGAAATCTCCTTTACAGTTTTAATACTTTTATATGCTGTAAATTAATTTACCTACTCCATTATTAGACTTTTGCCCGGTTGTTTCTTGGGTATAACAGGGGATTGATAGTAATATAGATAGAAATTCACTTACTGATTATAACGATTAATGATTAATGTTTGTGTTATATTACAAATTGGAATTCAGTACGATCAAGGGTCCACTTAGTGCAAATGGAGTTCCCATATTTCCTAGTAGAAATTTGAATTCTGATTTAAACTAATGAAAATCACATACAAATCAGACTTCAAATATCTACTAGTAGAATTGAAATATCCAGATTTTACTAGGAGGATTCTGCTTTTTACTTAATGTCTAGTAGGATTCAGCATATTACTAAAAACTTAAGTTAGTCTGATTCTGAATTGTACTAGATGTATTGTTTATTGATTGTATTAAATAAGTAACAAAAGAAAAACAAATGATAATACAATTTGAATATCAATACTTCATTACAAACAAAATCTGGTTAAATACAAACACTTTCTTGATAAATTTCTGAGAAATTATGAAGAAGCTAAGATTACATCTTCTCCTGGCAAAGTTGACCTTAGATGAATTTGGCTATGGTTATATAGATCCCTTTTGGTCATATATAGCTCCTCATCTATTCAGGTATTAATATATACCTGCCTTTAAATTTCTTTTCGTTTTGGGAAATCCTGATGAAGGTAAATACTGAAAATCCCTTTAGAGGCACCTTTTCCTTTTATTCTTTCAACATGTTCAAGATAGTTTATCTATTTCCTAATAATTTGTTTTAAGTGCAATTTTTTAGTAAACAAATTTGGCTTAACAACATAAACAAATAATTGTATTACCTTAAAATTTTCCTGCACAGTTGCAGATAGAAACACATTTACACCTCCGAAGTCAATGAATCTGGACCAAGAGAAAAAGATTGTACGCAAATCAACAAGATCATCTTCTGAATAAAACAATTAAATCATTAATCACTTTTGATATGAAAAATAAATATGGTTGCAAACTTGTTATTATGTTTCTTTGCAAGAGACGTCTTTACGCACGCCTAAATGTCTTTGTTTTTGAGAAGCGTTTGCAATTTGATCCTTGATGGTCTTCAATTTATACTTCATTTTGGCTTTTACACTTTTTTTATTCGAGCGTCACTGAAGAGTTGTTTGAAGACAAAACGTGCATATGGCGTACAAAATTTTAAATCTGGTATCTTTGATGAGTTTTTTTTATATTGTATATCTCGTTAGTCATCAATTTTGTGTTGGCATGAAATATCGTTATGTTCATTTTCTATAAATTAACCGTTTATAAATAGCAAAATTTGTCGAAACACTAAGGTTTCTACAACATGCATAGATAGTGTAGACCGTCATCCAATGATTTTTACATTAACATGTAAATTAAATAAAAAAAAACATGTTTTGGTTATTAATTCATATACTATTATGCATGTTATGGGATAATTTTTGTGCACCATATTTAGTAACTGTTATGTAAAATCATAGCAACCCTCCAATATATTGTGGTTTTGCTCTATACAGACGAAAAATCTATCTCTTCTCGTTGTCTTAAGCAAACATGTAACATGAAACCAGTCAACAAAACTGTTGATGAAGATGAAGAATCGTCAGAAGTAATGTTTATTATTTCACATACTCAGATTCCTAAAATTAATATCATTTGCAGTGGATCGCATACAAAATAATGCGAATAGATGCTGTTTATGAAGTTATTCTGTATGCACGAGTAACCCATACACGGTTAGTTAGATTTTACATATGTATATGTATTTGAGCTGTACATGCCAGAAACATATCTTTCCGGAAATATGATTTACCGAAAAAAATAAACAATATTATATTGACTTAAAGACCTTTTCATGAATAAGATGACGAAAAGAACCAAAGAAACCTGGTTTGTAAAAAGCTTTTTTCAAAGAACTTTTTTCCACGATATGTGGTTCCCTGAGCGTTTCTGATGATGGTAAATCCAGAAAAGCGTTTCGGACGTACGCAATTATATGAAGTGTTATTTTTCATTTGAATTTATTTCTAAATCACAATTCTATACTTGAAAATAAATGATCGAAATTAACATTTTGAATTAAATCCCGAACTCTAGACAGAACTATAAAAATACTCTAGAATGAATTATTCAAATCAAAACATCTACTAGTAAACATTAAATACATTCTTTTAAATAGGCTATACAAAAATTCCATATAACAATTGTTTCGAGTAAAAGTATTAACCAGTTTTCAAGTATTAGTTAAATGTCGAAATCGTTCATCCCTATCCTTCAATTTTGTTAGAAAAACAAACAAATAAAACTTAAAAATCAATACAA